AGTCGGTTACAATCCTTCCATCCTGACACGTAAGTGGTGAAAGGCTACTCTGTGTGAAGTTTCTTTCAATCTGCTTAGCCAGCATCCAAAAAGACCGACTGTCATTGCACTGCGACATTACCGTGTTCCTAACTTTTATATCGTGTTGGTCTTTGACATTGCGAACCGCTTCGTTCTTTTTGTTTCTGGACTGGATATCGGGTTGTCTGTTCTATACAGTGGGGTTTTGTAAAAAGGTTCTGTGTACCTTGATCCTCTTTTGGCGAGCAGTGTCGCATGATTTGATGAACCAGCCGTTGGACCCTAGTTTAGGCACTTTAATGAGTTTTCTTTGCTGGTAAAAAATCAATATGACGTTGGCTTTCAGATAATATACCAGATAATCTTATCAATATGCAGGATTATAATTTCTTTCGCAAAGATAGAATTGGCAGAGGTGGTAGGGTTGGCATATACACAAAGAGAGATTTACTATTGTCAATATCGATTTTTTGGGTAACAGTACGCTGGAATTATTGTGTTGTAAATGTAGAATCAATTCCATAAGCCTGTTTGCTGCGGTACGTGTAAGACCTTTTTCCTCACTTCATCTGTCAATGATTGTATAAATCACACAATCTTGTTTCTTTCTTTATCCCTCAATATGATGATATTATTCTTTTTTTTTTATACTCCAACTACCACGAAGGCCTAAGGCCTAAACACCCATTGGATACCGTGGGGCTATAGGGGGATACAGGGGAAAAGGGGGACGCCACACGGACTCTGGCGAGGGAACACGTGTGCATGCAACATGCACACATTCTGGCTCCGCCTACGAGATCCGCCGGGTGGTACCTCCACGTTTGACAGTCAGAGACCATCTACCACCTACGGACAATCACAACATCCATAGCCAAGAGAAAAATTTTCTCCTGGGACGGGACTCGAACCCGCACAGCGCACGGCGACTGATCACGAGACCGAAGAGTCTACTACTGCGGCCACCGCTGCTGCCTAGGAGACATGAATATTGATATGTTGGATACCAGTAATGCACTCAGCAGTTGTCTTGATTTTTATGGTTTCGGGCAGGTCATCGATGAACCTATTCGTATTTCTCGTTTTAGTTCTACTTTGGTTCTGGCTTACTAGCCACTTACTTGAGAGTTGAATATCAAAAACCGTTTCATCCGAGGAAAATTTTATAAGCTACTCGTATAGGGATGTTAAGAACATTGACGTAATTAAATTCAAGCAGGATTTGAATGCAGCTGTCTTAGAAGAAATGCTGTATATTACTGATATTAACTTCAAAATTCTAATCCTTTCTGGGGTGCTAATTGAGCTTTTTAACTTTCACGCTCCTTTTCGAACGGCTCGTGCCACCAAAAAAGCTACTCCATGGTTAACTCTTGGACTTGAAACTTTAATTAAATTTCGTCACAATCCATCAGATAAAAATTGGTTAGCGTATAAAGAGTCAAGAAATTATTCACTTGCTTCAATCCGGCGTGAGAATAAATCATGGTTATCTCGCTTTGACAGTCTGAATTTAAGAAAAGCTTGGGCTCAGCTGAGAGTAATGAATACTTGTCCCCAGAAACACTAAAATACTTTATGATCTATTAGACACTAACGAAGTTAATAGCCTCATGTTAAATTAGCAAAATCTTAATATCAATTCCCGTTTGATTGGCAGTACTGTAGAGTTTTATGAGAACAGCTTTTACAGGCAAGATTTACGTTTAGCATGATAACCCCTGAAGAAATTTTTCACATGCTACAGGGAGTGATCATCTGAACTTGAACATGCTAGGTTACTGCTTACCCGAGATTTTATTGTATTTAGCACATATTGTTAATATATCGGCACTGTTAATTATGTTGTACTATGCTCCAGTATATCCACATATTAGTAGCAATACAATGTTTTGGGGACAAGCAAGTATGATAAACAGAGTTTTCGTGCTGCGGAAAAGAGTTATTCGGTTGATCCGAAGAGACTCTTGTAAAAAAAAACTTTTAAAAGATACAATCTGGTTACAGTAACAGCCTTATACATATTCAAATATGCTCTTTTTTCATTTAAAAATAATGAAATAAACATCCATTACCGCAAAAGGAATGCATTTGACTTATCTGTCCTACATCATAGCTTTTTGAAAAGTCGCCCCTTTACAAGTGTATTAAAATATATAATAATCTACCTAATGATCTTCAGATCAACCAAAATATGTCATTTAAAAAACAACTGAGAAAATATCTTGTTGACAAGTGCCTATATTCCCCAAATAAATATTTTACAATATAATATCCCCATAGCATAATTTCTGTACGTTTACGTAATTTTAACGTCTGTGTAAGTGGTATTTTAATTGCTCCTCTTCCGTTAGGTATCTTTTTGTTATGTGGGTGGAACTTCTCCACATTGTTTTAAATGCTCTCTGGATGAATATATCTTATGGAGAATTAATACATGTGTATGTCTTTGTTTTTACTTACATGTATGCATGTATGTGCAGGAAATGATCTGTGGACAAATAAAATCTCTATTTATCTATATTTGGGGTCATCCTCCCATGCATGCAGATGGGGGTCCATAGGATAAGGACGAAATAGGCTATAATGGAGTACGACAGTCCAACTTGGAGGCCCTGTATCTCGGAAAGTACTTGTGGGAAAACTTTGAACCCGTGGGCAATTGTCCACTCATTGAGATCTTCAACAGACTAAATTTAAAATCATGAAAATCGATGTTGCTCATTTAGATTTTCCTGTTGGTCAATCCTGTTGTACCTACAGCTGGCGCTGCACCGATTTTGACCAAAGGAACACAATATGATGAGAGATTCACTTAGTTTATAGATTATTTTGGGGCGGCCCCGTTTATGATAGTAACCGGAACCGACGATCAGCCCACAGCATATTACGGAAAATAATACTTATGATTTTGTCATAAATTATCAATTGTTCCGCTTTACCGTTGAAAATTTGAATGTCATAAAAGTAATGTTTGCCATAGGGTTAACGATTACTGTCTCTGACTTTTTTTCGCCAATTTTTTCATATTTTTTTCGAGCTATCATTTTGATGCGTGCTTTGGAAAATGGCGTCAAGTCGGTTGACCCTGTACTTCCTACGCAAGGGTATCATCATTATCATCATCATCAGCATCATAGCAAAATTCATAAAGGAATATATTCGGCTTAATTTAGTCTCTTTTAGAAAGAAGTTATAGCTTTGTATAGCTATATATAGCTATACATATGTATAACAAAGGAATTAAATGGATCACGTCAGTCAATCAGGGTTATATAAGGTCAGCGCCCTATCAACAGTATCGACGACCCAGTGACGCGGCAATGCAGCAGGGCATTGCATGCACTGATATTATACAAGAATCCGCATCATCATTCAGTGAATCATTCATTAAAGTTTGTGCAAATGTACAGGAAATCTATGACGCATAGAATATGTCTAATATTCTAAAAATTATATACATATATTCCCTCCACCCGCTACAACCTACAACGTCCAATTTTTCATGCCTGCAATTTTTTTTTTTCTCAAAATGATCAAGACCTTATGAAACGTCAAAATCTACAAAGCTTTTTCATCCTTGGCATAGTTAGTAACCTTGTGAGAAAACTTCATCAAAATCTGAGCGCTACTTCCCAAATTATTGATGGGCCAAGGAGTAGCGGACAGACAGACCAACGAAAATGAGTGACATGGCTATGTCATATAACATTCAGAAAGCATAATATCTTATTTTCGAAATTTTTCGCAATTACAATACTTCCTCTCCAATTGGCGTAGGAAGTATAAAAGCCACCGTGGTGTCCGGAACCCTAGTAATGGGTAATTTCTACATACGAGGGTGAATCAAATATGAACCGGACTTTTCTGTTTAACGCGCCATAGGTAAATGGAGTGGGGCGACGACCTGATATAGGTTGGGTAGGGATGTCTATCTTGAACACGTGTGTTGTGCAACATTTTTGCCGCGGGAGGGCGTAACACCGAAATTTTGCGTCGACTAACAGCACAGTTCGGCGATACACAAGTATACGACTGGAAAAAAAATCCATGAAGAGGCGAAAGCCTGGAGAGGCAGCACCGCGAAAAGCCAAGTCCGGTCCTTCTGAGAGAGGAGATTTTGTAGAAAAATAAAACGTGAATAAACTTGTATATACTATACCAAAAAAAGTAATGAAACAAAAGTCCGGTTCATACAGATATCTGATTCACCCTCGAATGCTGTACGAAGTAGCTCAATTGGCCGTTCAATTAACAGCCTAGCCTCTTTACTAATCCAACTAGATTCCTAAATGATATCCATCGGTTGCGTCTAATACAACATATAATGAACTGGCTGGCAGATGCTTAGTCTATTGATACAATGACACCATGCCACAAAAAGTCATGAAATATCTGGCATTAGAAATTGTTTATTTGAGTAATTTAAAAGTTCTACATCTGCTAACCTTACGGTTTTGGATTAGATGGTGACTGCAACTTTTTTCGAATACTTTAATAACATCTGACCAAACAAGGGATAAGGCTCATTGTGTATCAGAAGTGATACTAATTTATTTTGTATCATATCACTATGACCTCTAAACTTCGACCTTAAGAATTTTTGGGTAATTTCAAGAATCCTAATTCTACTCCATTTCAAACGAATTTTTTTATAGTAAAACTTAATCTTCCTGAGGGTCACTGACTTTTATCCATCAGAAGCCAACGCTTTCACTTTTAAAGGTAAATAACCGAAATACAATGGGAATGATATAAAAAATCTATTAGCAATACATGGAGGTTTACAAGTTTGAGTGAAAAAATGTAGGTGCTAAAAATTAAGCATAGTACTTCGTTTTAATAAAAAATCTGCTCCAATTTTATCTTATCTGAGAAGAACATCATGAACTTCTGCTTGTTGTCAGGGTCGGATTCTGTATGACTGAATAATAAAAAATCAACGCTTTACTAACAAATTTTTTATTCAAATTAATAACAGTCATTACATGAGTATATGCTGGAAAATCTACACTTTGACCAAATTAAATCGTATACAATAAACCACCAAAAGGGTACCAAAAAAATCTTACACTGACGCAATAAATAAGTATTAGACAGTCACCACAATGATCTGAAATGCAAGGTTCGCATAACTCATAAAATAAAATAAAAAACATTGTATACGATCTTACAATGAACAAATAGGAATTATAACAGAAATTGTTTTTCCTATAGTGAAATCTCACGAGCAGTCATTTATGTAAAAATTAAGTTCATAAAAATGTCACATATAGCTGTCCATTTCATGCAAACTCCAAAAGAAATTTGATTGTAATGGAGCATTTGATGCAGTACAATGGCTTAGAAGCATTTACGGTGTACAATGCCAGGGCCGGATTCATCGTATTCTTGCTTGGAGATCCACATCTGCTGGAAGGTGGATAGTGAAGCTAGGATGGATCCACCGATCCAGACGGAGTATTTCCTTTCTGGTGGAGCGATGATTTTGATCTTGATTGTTGATGGGGCTAAGGCGGTGATTTCTTTTTGCATACGGTCAGCAATACCTGAAATAGGTTTGAAGGAATACTATTATAAGGAAATAAACAAATCTCGAAACGGCTGAATAGTATAGAAGTCCGTAACGGATGCGTCAAATCAAACCCAAATTACAATTGTGAAAGTAATGATATTGAGCCAAATATAACTTAGTAAAATTAGTGAAATACAGAGTTCCGAAATTCAATTCTCGTAATCGTTATTTCTTTATAGCTCCCGGTGCTTTAGTGATTTCCAAATGAATATTGGGAATCGGGAGTTTCTGTGGATGAGGAAAAATATGTATAGTATATTACATAGTATATTGTTATATATCCATGACACGCTCATATTCCACTCTTATTGAAACGTTTTTGATGTGAAACGTTTTTGAGGCAGCCAGCTGTTTGACTATGCGCCAGAATGTCTTAAAAAGGGTATACATTTTTACTTCTCAACGAGTATTGAAAAATTTCGTAAATGAGATATTGTTTCTGGATACTACATGATATGTACATGACCTAAAACCATGTCACTAATATCTATCGGTCCTTCTGTCGGACTCTCTGCTATCGCTCACCATTCGATTTTAATGAAACGTTGACATAAGGTTTTGGAAAATCAGTCAAGTAACAACAAAAACATACTGGAAAAAAACGAAAAACCGTACATAATTCATTTTTTGATGTTTCAGGAACACCTACTTACAAAAAGAATTTAAGCTTAATAATGTTTTTGGAATTCATTTCATTACTTCCAATATTTTATCTATACATACCTGGGTACATTGTGGTGCCTCCAGAAAGTACAGTGTTAGCGTACAAATCTTTACGGATGTCCACATCACACTTCATGATAGAGTTGTATACTGTTTCGTGGATACCGCAGGATTCCATTCCTAAGAAAGATGGCTGGAACAGGGCCTCAGGACAACGGAATCTGTAATCAAATCCATGAATAATTATACACAACATTAAGATCTTGCTTAGATACATCTTTCAAAAAACGCGTATAAAAGTAGGCTTTGTTGCTTCTAGGCGACAACGTCAAGTTAATATCTTCCAAATATGATTAGAATTGGAAGTTTTGTCGCTAGAATGACAAATGGAAAGCTGATTACGTTGAAATTCAACTACCTATTCGATCTGCATTTTTAGAACACAGTTAAAGGCCAATTGAAATTTGAAAGACACTGTATATGGCATTCCTGATGTATTTTAGCGTTCTGTAGATAATTTTTTATACAGGGTGATCATTTGAAAACTTCCCACCACGGATTTATCGAAAACCACTAATTATCAGAAAAAACGCCGAGGCAAGTCAAAGGATTTGTAGAGGAGGACAACTTTTTAACCAAAAACTACTAGACCCTCTTTCACCCTCGGCCCCCCAGGGTCATCTCCTTAAAAATTTCAAATGACAAGGGTTATCGAGTAATAGCTTGTTTGAAAGGTCTTTTATTTTCAAGTTTGATTTTTTGAAATCGGTCGATTCATTTTCAAGAAAATTAGAAAAACCTTTATTTACCTTAATTTGTTCAGATAGAGACCAAAAACACACGAAAATATCAGTTTTTATTTCAATAAGTGTTTAAAATGTTGCCCGTTATTGACCAAACTATGATATAGGCGATGTTCAAGTTCCTGCCGGACATTTTCAAAAACATGTGGGATATCATGGCAGCTTTCGATGATGCGTTAACGAAGTTTATCCAAACTTTCAGGTTGGGGAGTAAACACAATAGATTTCAAATGACCCCATAGAAAAAAGTCTAATGGCGTCAAATCAGGACATCTGGCAGGACATTCTATAGGCCCTCTTCGCCCTATCCATTTATCTGGAAACTCGTCATCTAGCCGAACCGGAAAGAGCGCCGTCTTGCTGGAAATATACTTCAACCTCATCAAGTATAGGGTTTGCATGCTCTTCGATTTGGTTTTCAATGGTTTCAGTTACAAGCGGATTGATGGTATTTTCCAACATATCCAAATAAATGTCTCAATTCCAATTTCCGTCAATAAACAATGGCCCAATCACTTTGTTTCCTAAAATGCCTGCCCATACATTAATTTTTTGGGAGTACTGGGTATGTCCTTCTACAAAAGCACCCAACTCTTCCCCTTCCTTAGACAAATTTGCTACCGACTGCTCTTCAGAAATGTTTGCCGTCTTATCCGCCCTCACAATATACAAAAACTTTCCTCTTATCAATGTCTAATTAATCACTCATGAGAAAAATTCCTGCCTTCGCCCATGATCCTTTATCTCGTTCAGGGAGCTTTTAAGGTCCAATGCAGAAACAAACTTTACGTGTTATTTTTGGACGTACTTTCTACCCTTAAAACATTGCTTCTATTTTTCCAATCAGCCTAGGTTCTTTTCACTCTCGTTTCGAAAATGTGTGAAAAACAAAATCATACCTTTCGTTACCGATGGTGATGACCTGTCCATCAGGCAACTCGTAGCTCTTCTCCAATGAGGTAGAGCTGGCAGCTGTGGCCATTTCCTGTTCAAAGTCCAAAGCGACGTAGCACAGCTTCTCTTTGATGTCCCTAACGATTTCCCTCTCGGCAGTGGTGGTGAAAGAATAACCTCTCTCAGTCAGGATTTTCATCAGGTAGTCTGTGAGGTCGCGCCCTGCCAAGTCCAGACGCAGGATCGCATGTGGCAAAGCATAACCTGGAGACAAGGAGTTTTTAGCAAAATTTTATCGAAGATTTCAATGGAATCGGCCAAAAAACGAGGTGCAAGTTGATAATTTGTAACAAGAGGAACGGTTTTATTTTTTAAAAATCAATCATAAATTAACATCTGAAACTTATCCCATGGTTTTTATGCTCATGAAATTTTCCTTTTTTTTATTTGTTGGCCGTTAAATGTAACTATATATGGAGGTTTGAGTTTTTACCAACGTTGTACCCAGCGCGGTGGCCGTTTTCTAGGTACAGATCAAACGTACGGTGTGCTCAGACATTCAATGGATGTAAGATTGATAATTAGAGTCAAAAAGGGATATTTTGTCAAAATCTACAATGATATGGAAGGTAAAAGGTTTTCAGTTAATCGCTTCAGATATGTGCATTTCCAAATTTACTCAATTTTGCCGCCATTTCAAAGCTGATGATCTTACAAAGTATTAGCGCTTAAGTACATAAAATGTAACGATTCTTCTTTATTTTAACTGATCACTGTTTTATTTTTCACTAAAAAAAGGTACGCCGAAGCAATGATTTTAGGAACCCTTTCAAGCAATTGCAGGTAAAAACCACCAAATGTTTGAAATTAAACTTTGCCGAGGAGGTTCGCCTTAACAATTAATTCAACAAAAATGCTAAATATGGTACAGTCTGTGAAAACCAAAAGTTCGCTTATTCTAGCTTAACAGGCAAGATTAAAAATAGCTTTAAAAACCAGTAATCTCAAAATACTCTTCTGGGTACTTGTAAAGCAAGGTTCAAGCTTTAATTTAGATCCTTGGCCACGTCAAAAATTATGATTTTTAAATCATCAGGATTAAATAGAGCTTTTTAGACATTAAATCGCTTATAACTCGAAAATGGTCAGCTTTAGAGAACCGTTAATGCAAGCCTTTTTTCTTAGGTATGATCCAAAAAATCTGAAAAAAGTTAGTCCGGGCAAATTTCAATTTAATTTACAAATATAATTGAACAAATTTGATTTTTGAGCTGGCCAAGTATCTAAATGAAAGTTAAAACCTTGGAATTGAAATTCATTTTAAAAATACTGTTTTGATCGGCATATTTTGAATATGGTAGTGTGCATATTGTGTAGTGAATTGAAAATCTGTAGTAATTTCAATTTGCAAAGCTAGGGGTCTGGGGAAGGTAGTTCAAACCAACGACGCATGGAAATGAATCAAACCATTAATCCTCCTACAATGGAACCTGATCCGAAGGTTGCCTGGATTCAGCAATTACTCACCTTCATATACGGGTACTGTATGCGAGACTCCATCTCCGGAGTCAAGTACGATACCAGTGGTACGACCGGATGCATACAGAGACAGCACAGCCTGGATGGCCACGTACATGGCAGGGGTGTTGAAGGTCTCGAACATGATTTGGGTCATCTTCTCTCTGTTTGCTTTGGGGTTCAGGGGAGCTTCTGTCAGGAGGATAGGGTGCTCCTCTGGGGCTACTCTCAGCTCGTTGTAGAAGGTGTGATGCCAGATCTTCTCCATGTCGTCCCAGTTAGTGATGATGCCGTGCTCGATGGGGTATTTCAAACTGAGAATACCTGAAAAAAAATTGTTATATATTTCATACGTGTTTAGTTATTGCATGAATTATGCATTCAATTACGATGTAAAGCAATGTCTGTCACTTTGGGTTATAATCCTGAGTATTTTCGAATTTGGATGTTGGTACTTCCTACGCCAATTGGCGAGGAAAAACTGAGAAACTTTGAAACTAAGATATTTTTTCCGATGTCATATGACATATACATATAACGAAAAACCATTTCACTTATTTCTGTAGCTCAGTCTGCCTGTATGCGTGCTAATCTTTGAACTGCCTATAACTTGGAAACTGCTGCTCGGATTTTGATGAAATTTCAGCACAAGACTACTACTAAGCCAGTGAGGCAAAAATTTTGAAAACTGATTACAGGTAGGTAGATTGATAGAACGGTGAACTTGGGTTATTGAAAGTGACATGTATAGTGTTTTGCCTTCTATATAATCATGTATCATGCTCCTGGATATATCTACCTCACACCCATCCTGAAATTCTTTTTCTGAATAAGTTAACGTTTCTTATTAGCTTTTAATCAGAATGCATTTCGTTGTACAATTTAGGGCAAAGATTAATCCAGAAGCGATGCAATAATGATTTTTCTGGTCTAGGCACGACTATATGCTTGGCGACTCTCTGGCGGGTATCATATTTTTGTGAGCGATTTCATCATATATGTTTTATTTCTATATTTTGTTATATTTATAAATAAATATTTGCCTAATGTCCATCATACCAGACTCATGGTATAGCTTATCAGACGGATAAGCCTTGCTCTTGCTATAAATGGTTTTTAATTAATATTTTTGGGCAATTTCCAAATTCTTTATGAAGGTAAGAGCAGCTCCTCCCCAATCAAGTATTCCAGAGCAAAGATGTGATTGCACAAGTGCGAAGTATAAGATTCTCATACAATCAGTGTTAAGGATGTTTCTAAGGCATTTGAATTTTGGAGTGATACATCTTCTTCTTTGTCACATACCCGATTTGCACGTCTCATCTGAGATTTTGATCAATATAATATTCCCAGATATTTAGTGCTGCTTTGACGTTTAATGGTAGCCGTGTTCTCTCCTGTTCTGACATTTATTTCGTTGTATAGAAGCAAATAGTAGCATTGAAATATGCTAGTACATTAGTAAAATTATTTTCGATTTTATTTTTAGTGCATGTCAACTTAAGACTTCATAAATAATGACAATGTCCCGACCACCGCGAAAACCAACCTCACATTGTTGTGATCCGAGATATCTTACACACAAACTCTCGTCACAGAAGTCTGCATTGCAACTTTTTGAGAGCTATGAGAAATCTCTAATAATAAAACCAAAAAACACACAAATTTGACTGCTGAAAGTCAGTCACTTATGGAGACAGAGTAGCAAAATTTTTTATTGGAATAAGCTTCGTATCTCACACTTTCTCGTCATTTAAATTATTTTTAATTTTTATTTTAATTTTTAAATATATATACATATATATACTTTGGTTATGGACTTTTCTCTTTTAAGATCCTTATTTTGGTATAAAATGGGGGTTGATTCGCAAGATTTTTGAATTATTTGCATAATTTGCCTTAATTACATTTCAAAATAAGTAAATACCACATGATTCGAGAAGAGGGAGGACTTTTAGTGAGTGGATGCAAGCGTTAATTGAAATTACATTATGCATTAGTATACAAAAAAAGTTTAGAAAACACGAAATTTGGAACAATCCATTTCAAAGTGCGTGTTTGAGGTGTCGCTCAATAATTGAATACCATGATTTATAATTGTAAATATTTTGAAAATGGATTCCCAAGTACCGTGCACAATGACCCATGAGCAGTTTTCTGGGAACAGTATTGAATATACGGTTGTACAACGACCGTAACGAATTTACGATTTTGGTACAAAAAATCGATTTTGGGAGTTAACAGAATGTGATAAAAAATTGCCGGATTATTGGAAAGCAAGTGTTTTCAAACAGTAAAGTTTGCAAGATATCTAGAAACAATTAGGAAAGAACATATTTTTTTACAAATTCATTTGAATAAAATGAAAAGTGTTTTTTAGTCTTGCTCTATACAACATAACTAACCTCTTTTGCTCTGGGCCTCATCGCCCACATAGGAGTCCTTCTGACCCATACCGACCATGACACCCTGATGCCTGGCCCTTCCCACGATGGAAGGGAACACCGCCCTGGGCGCGTCATCTCCGGCAAATCCTGCTTTGCACATTCCGCTGCCATTGTCAACCACTAAGGCCGCTACATCATCGTCACACATTTTGCTGGCTTGTTGGTTTTAATCTAGTCTGGCGCCGAAGATGTGATGGTTGTCAAAGATGGTATGGTGATCTGTAGGTTCAGAAAATGGTGTGAATTTCATGTTTTATATTATTGAACAAACTTATATATAATGAACCAACGAACACTCAATAAAAAAATGCTATTAAACGCCACAGACAAAATTTTAATAGTTATGTGCTCCAACCATTGCTACATTTGTTACTACCGCAGTTGTCACATATTCCGAAATTTCGCAAACAGTCATTTTTTACTTCCTATGCCACTGGCCAGGAAGTAACGCCATCCTGAAAAATTTCGAAATTGAGACATAATCATTGGCCCGTCTATAACTTTTGAAATACCACTCGGATTTTTTTTAAAATTTCACACAAGGTTACTATTATGCCAAGGACGGACTAAGGGCAAAAACACGAAAAAAAATCGCTCAAGCTTCGTTTTTTTGACGTTTCAGGGGTTACTGATCATTCCCAGAAAAAATTTGTAGGGGTTAAACATTTCGTGGCTGTATTAGACATATTTTACGTATCATAGATTTGCTTGTACATTTGGCCTTAAAACTTAGAATGATAGAGAAATGCTTTCGATGCGCATCTCTGATTCTGTTCTCTGGGTTCACTGACGGGCTGATCTCTATGATTGTCTTTCCATTACGACCGCCCTGCCGCGACATGCGATCAGGTATCGGGATAGAGGCGACGGTGCCAGATTAATGGTACTACCGGTAGGTCCAGGAAAGAATAGGTATGGTCTTTGACTTAATCTGTTTAATTTTTCTGTTGTACATGTTCATAGCTGAAGATAATCCTCTATGAATTGATGATGGCATTGTGGGAGAAGTGCAGAGTTAACCTACTTGACAACATTTGGTATAAATATAAATATACTAGGCGCGGCAACGAAACGATCCACTGAAATAAATTAATGTATTTATAATTAATTTGTTTAAAATCTTCATAAGAAGTTAAAGTTTTAACATAAGCTGGTTTTTACCATTAACAACACACGTCCATCTATCTATAAGCATTGCTAAGTCCAAATTTTTGCAAATTGGAATGGCAGGACTCATTTTACATCATATGCAATTCACAGATATCAAAATCGTATGCCAGTAAATTCTATCCATTACCAAATTTTTGATTTTTGTTAAACCATTTGCATAGAGAAAATATAGCAAGGCAGGAACCAGCATCGAAGCCTCTGTATCTCGTTAACAATCAGTCTAAGTACTTTTATCCCATTTATTTTAAACTAAAAGATATCACACATAACAAACGAAAAAATGGGTTTAGTTGATTTGCCGGTAAAACGTTCTAAAGAATAAATGTACGAATCTTTTGGTAATTAAACAGTCAAAAATATAGAACATAACACTGCATTCAATTTTTTTCATACATAGGTTTTCCCCAAGGTTTTTTAATTTAATAGAAAAACAGCTTGTTTTTTTGTTATACTCCGCGTGCAAGCACAGATGAATGAGCAAATCTACCTTCCACTCTTTTGTGTTAGGTATAATTAAGCCAATGATTTAAATAAGCTGTAATGAATTTATTTTCAATTATCTATTTATATATATTGACAATGCATAGAGTCGAGCGTCGTATTAATAGTTGAGGTGAAATTAAGTGCAGCTCATATATAAATACACCAATGATATAAAAGAGATGTTTGGGTCTTATATAGTCGAAATTGTTATATGAAAATACTTGGTCTCACTCCAAAAAAAAAAAACGATTTAAAAGGAATATCACACCACTTTACATAATCAATGGAACAACGGAGATAAAACAATAATAATTTTCCCAACTGAATCAAAATCCCGAGTGACGGTTATCTTTCCATAGTTTTGTTGGACACATTGCATATGCAAACCACCTCCGTATAAGTCTTTGAAAAGACTCTACAAAGTGTGACTTATGTTTAGTGAGTTGTGGAGAGCCGCTCTGCATTTTACTTATGACAGCCATGTCAAAAACGTGTGGGATCATAGGACTGACTGCTCATTCGCTATAAATTTCCTCAGCTATCCTAGTAATGATGTAATAACAAGATGCTAGCGGTAGGGCAACCGGTCTATGTCCAACCAACAATTGACGTTGTGACTGTATACAGCTAGAGCTGTCCCGCCAACACGAGAATCCATTCCGGAGATTCATTGTCCTTGACGAAAGGGGAGCTTCGGATCATATATATTTTTAATTTGAACGTACAAGGAGTCCAGTGGGACCTAAGCGCCGAGATCTTGTCTGTTTGCTTAGCCTGCCGGATATCAGGGATTTCAGTCGAATATACTTCTTCAAGATCATAAGTGCGAATAGTTTGATTTTATCTTCCAATTTACGAGTATATACCTTTTCGATTGTTTTGCCTCATGGGCGTTCATAGGAAGTTCTCTCAGATGCGGACAGATCATCGTCATTAGATATAGCCTTTTGTGGAAGTGTACCTACTCCCGAAACTTTTTAAAGAGCGGTGTAGCAAATTTTCCTCGGGGGAATCCTACAATTCCGAAAAGATTGTGCACAGCACTCCCTGCATCCTCATTTGTCTCAGAATGATTAGCATAACAGTTATCCACGGCACCTTACACAAAATAGTCCGAGATTAAATTGGAGCTGAGAGCGATTTTCGAAGGAAAATGGACCAATTTTACTGCCGGACCAAAAAGCGCTTCAAAAAGTCTCTTTTTGTTGATGCATTTGCTTTTCCTCACCTACGAGTGGATTCTGCTCATCAACTGCGGCTATTTTGCTTATCCAAATTGCCTTCAAGGTAAAAATGAGTTTCACCCGAAAAATACACTTTTCGGTAATAATAATACTTCAAATTCCAAACTCTAGATGGACCACCCTATACTTCCCGCACTGGCAACGTGCACCCGGTAGTATTTAGCAAATATGGTATTGTTTCTAACGCATTAAAAGACATGTAGATTTTTCACCATTCGATTGTGCACTTCTATGGTCATGGCGTCAAGTAGGTTGACTGCACTTTTCACGCAACGCCCTTATCAGTACAACGTACATCAAGGAACATGTTCAGCACAAACCTAACCCTCTGAGAAAAAAGTATGTCAAACAGATCCATAGAATTAGTCCATAGACATTCTTTCCCTGCCCTACCGCATAGTGCATAGTGCATCTGGACACGTCGCCTCTCTCCGATATCTAACTCGGGCAGACGTGGCACCGTGGTAGCGCGGTCAGAGCATAGAAAACACTATGCTGTTGCAGAAATACGTGTGATTCCATACTGAACACTCATCACGGTAGGCGCACGATGCCAGCAGCAGCAGCAGCCGCGTCCGAAATCTATGTTGTGTGAAATATGTCTAATAGGTGCGTAGAATTACCCATGTTGGGAGCGTATAAATGTACCAGCATCAAAAAATTCAGTTAAACGTCCCCACCCCCTCACAACCCCCACCCCCAAGGTTTTAAACATCTATTTTTTTTTCAAAATTGATCAGGATCCTCTGAACTGTCAATAAACGAAGTTTGAGCGATTTTTATTTTTTTCGTTTTAAGCCTTTTTCTCTGCCGTCACTGAACCGATTTTCAAAAACTACAAAGCTTTTGCGTCCTTGGTATAAAAGTAACATTGGATAAAAATTTCGTTGAAATCTAGCGATTATATAATTAGCGGGCAGCCCAACAGACAGACCGACAAACCGACGGAATCGAAACATAATATCTTATTTTCGAAAATTTTCACGGTTACAATACTTCCCCTTCAATAGGCGTGGTAAGTAAAAAGGGCCAGTTTTTTTCAAAGTAACTTATCATTCCACCACACACACTAAAATCACAAACCCACACCAACCTCGTGGCGTGAAAGCCGGTGAACGTAAGAAGGTGCTAAGATTGTACCGAAGTCAATTTTATAGTCGTCGCGACGGCCAATCATCAATTGGGGTTAGCACGACGCTGGCCGACGTCAGTCGGTTACGTTACCCTGGCAGTGGCCAGCTATGGCCATATTTAGTATCGGTGCCCCCTCCAATATATTCAAATGTATCGTCGGAGAATTCAAGATGAAGCTGCTAGCTGCCAAATTGGCATACGGCATTAACCGACACGAAATTAAGATTTATTTGCTTGTCTATTAGTTGTCGTACGTTATTTATATATAAATGTTATGTGATGCAAGTTTTTATTACTCCAATTTTCAGTATACAGGGTTGTTCGTACCGTCTCGGTATCTAAACAATGGACATAAATTCTTGGGTTAATCCATCGGACCGTTTCGAAGGTAAAATAACATTTTCCATTAACGAAACCCCACGACAGCTGTTCATAAAGAGAGATACCTCCAGCTAGAAGACATGTCTCAAATCACCACGTCATGAACCGTCTACCTCTTTCATACATATCACAGTTAATTAATATTCTCTATAATCTTATATTGAGTATACAATAATTTTAGTATAGTTGCCCGAGTCATATGAAGGTACTTGGATAGGTCCAAAATGGCTTGGTCAGTTTCTTGACTCAAACGGTGTAGGTTATTGGCTATACAACCATTTAAAGTTAGTAAAGTGCTTATTATTAATAAAAAACCATAAGTCCATGAGGCAAAGTTAAATGATTCTTGTAGATTAAGGAGCTTCCCTTGTGATTCTGGCCGATAAAAGAATATTTTCGCAATTTATATTCTTCCGAAACAATGCGATTTTGCGAAAATTGGCAAAGGATAAAAGTAGTTTTGGGATAGACCGGACAAACAGTCTTTCAATGTTTCACCCAGGCTTATTGTAAAATATTGGGACTAGTTTTTTAACATTGTATATGTTATATAATTAATCTATGGCGTATGAATCCCTCAAACCATCCACAGAAATTACATCGTTTAATGTCTAACTTAGTCAAGCATATTTTAATTGTCTGTCAGAAGTCTGAAGATTTAGAGACAATTTCAATTTCATCGTGTTCATTTTGCCATCATCTCGCCTTTGCTTGTTCTAAATAAACTGAAAAGCGATTTTCAAGTTACACTCCGATAATTGGTTCATCAGATATTTATTCGGAGTGATTTTTTTCTAATATTCATCTTTTCAATTTATAATTCGAATGATTCTCCGAACGAAAAATCAATTAAGTTGATTTACTGCATGAATTGCTACCAAATATATCGCCTTCAGGTTAGAATTTGCTTTTCGATGTTTCCAACCGAAATTGTCTATTTTCAATTACTCTAGCAGTATATAGATGTTAATAGTACCTGACCAAATCATAGAGGTGAGTTGTGTTCCAAACACATCAACACTTTTCGGAATGTTTATTGCCCTTTAAGAGACAGTTGCAATAAAACAATGGCATGCTATTCCATGTCGTGATCTGAGAAATGGTTGTTGCAATGTTGCTACTCAAATGAGGACAAAGTCGTGCAATTAAATGGAGCTTACAGAATTTGGCATTTATTTGAAAAGAAACTTCGAATTTTATTTATATTCTACAATGTTTTACATGTGCGAGTAATAAAAATAAATGCAACTTTATCATTGCCACCTTAATAATCTAAATAATTATATATATTTTTTTAAAGTCGGAGGTATTTTGCAATTTTGATAGACGTGAATTAAAGTTTGTAATTTTTCAAAGGCGTTTTTCGAAAATGGGTTTCCTCTTCTGTTTTTCACATCTCATAAAGGGATATTTGAGAAGAGATAAAAAAGCGACTGCAAATATGTTAAGCGAGATGCGGCCTCAAACGGTTTTTAAATCACGACAGTATTTAAAACAAACCATAGCAAAAATGCCTTTTCAACAACTGTCTGCACCTAAAATATGAGACAATGCCCTACTCACCCTTATTTTGAAATAACAAAACACAACCAACACCAACACCTTATTTCACGAAGCACAAGAAAATCACCCCTAAATACTTGCGGAAGTTGTACCCACCTAGCGTGATGACCGGTTGTTGTGATAAGGTGCCTTAGATCTGAGAAGCTCTGTTTTATAACCGTCCTATTAAACGACTGGCGACGAAAGAGGGGTCGTGGAGGCACGCCGCTGGTGCACTATAGCCATGTATAGTAATGAAGCCCCCACTATTGATAGACAATCAGTTGGAGTTTTAGTGTATTTAGCGTGGCATAGACGGCGAAATCAATGAAAGGTTGCCAAGTGATTATACTTGGTGATATGAGAGGTCATCGACGTCCTTTTGCAGTGAGTATATTCCCGTTTTTCATTGGTGATTCAGTCGTTGATTCATGTACCTGATGCCTTTGTCCAGACACTATGACATCCATTGACGTATCCAGGTACACAGAAAATTCTTTCTTGTTAAATAATCTAACAAATCGTCATGATAGTGTGTCTCATGAAGCAACTATTTTATCTTAATCAAATGAGATGCTAGGATTTTTCTTCGCACGTATAAGCTGAGCGATACAATTTTCAAATTTCAATTAAAAGTCTTATTGGTGTTCCATAATTAATTTTTGTAGGTCTAGCTATCAAAAAAAATAATAATAATATTGGCTATTGAAGTTTTTTTATCCTTGTATAATCTTATTCAAGAACCTTTTTAACAAATCTGCATGTTGCCGACCAATAAATTTCCGCAGAACTTGATCAAATAATTCTTTCAAATTCCAAATTTATTCTTTTTGCTCCGAGTATTTTTTTTTGTTTTTTTGTCCTTCTGAACAAAAAAGATTTATAAACTGTTCTCCAAAATTTATATTTCTGGAGATATACGAGATTCAATATTTAAAAAAACATATTGGAAAATGGCGTCAAGTCGGTTGACTATGTGAGTCAATTTTCGCACGTTCTGGTATCTTTACTATTGGCCGGCTATGGAAACTCTTACAGCTGGTGATCTAATAGACAGGGCCGAGTTTAGGGTGGAGCGAGTGGAGCGGCTGCTCCAGGCCTCGCGCTAACAAATAAGTAAAAAGTTTTGGTTGAATGTAAATAATATAATAATGCACAAATATACGTGACTAGAATATCTGTCTGATTACTCTCGCAATATGTTAAATTATTGATTGATTTCGCAACCCAGAACCCACGAACGAGATAATCGTGATCAAAAGAATGCAAAACAACGTTGATAGTGACGGCGGGGTCCCCAAACCCCGCGTATGCCGGCACGCTGCCTTGGAGTTTCATCTCAGTTACTTCAAGGGCTAGTTCAGTTTTTTTCGGAAATTTAGAGTTGATAATTTTGTGGCGGCCATATTGATAGCAAGAGAACTTACTGAAATCTCGGGTGTAGAGCCCAAGTTTAAACAAGTCAGACAGATAAAGAAAAGAAGAATGTTTGACTTCGAGAGAGAAGATGAGCCTATGTCAGAAGCTGCCGAACAAAAGTTTGAACAATAGATTTTCACTTAAAAATACCAAACGAATAATAGTATGTGCAAATAATATGAATATTTTGTAATAATATGTGCTTATTTATGATTTATTATTCAATACAAAAAAAAAGATTTCTTATACTATATTATCAATTTATTTCCTGGCAGACATAAATTTTAATATAATTTTCCTAATGATTCATTGCTTAAAAAAATAAAGTGGAAGAGTTTAGACCATAGTCATAAATCATATTTCTTTCTTATCTCAATTCTTTACACAGATTGAAATATTGTATACTTACATCAAAAATAAACCAGACTCAACCCTTACTGGCAAGTGACAAAAATACATAAATAATTGGCGTGTTTTGAGATGAAGTGACTCCATCAAAAATGCGAAAATTTAAAAAAAAAATTCGAAGTAGACAACTTTCTTTAAAAAAAAGGGCTCGGAAAAATATTTTGCTCCAGGCCTCGCATCTGATAAGGCTTTGCTAATAGAATGAATATAATTGAAGGAAAGACGTTATAAATTTAATTTTTTTTAAATAATCGACCCTGAGTATATAGGTGGTGCTTAGTATCTGGACCACTTTCATACGCTCACTAGGATCACTGTTCGATAGCTATGAAAGCACTTATACGCCTGTATAACAAAGAAAAAATGAGCGAAATACATATATCGTTTTTTCTAAATATGTCCATATTAAATATGTGTGATATTATGGTTGGTAATACTACCGGGATCACAAATTTCTTAATAAATACTAAAGATGCAACATTTATTACCCCCTATCCTCTACATTCTCCAACTTTCAACCTATGCAAAAAAATTTGTGATCAGGGGCTTCCGAAACGTCGGAAACAGCTACGATTTTCCGTCCTTGGCATAGTAGTAACATAATAGTTACAGACCGGCCAATAATTAGCGAACAGACAGACAGACCGACGGAAATGACCAACATGGTTTTTCGTGATGCTCATGTTATATAGTTTGCAAAAAACATAACATCCCATTTTCGAATTTTCCGCGATTCCAGTACCTCCTCGGCAGTGACGTGGGAGGTAAAGACAATCAATTCAATGTTAACAAAGTTCCTATATATTCATTAATAAAATCTCGAAGCATTTTAGGGGGTATTATTATTGTAAGCCTTTACTTTTTGATTGTTAGTCATGCGCGCTCACGCAAAATATACAAATATTGAGCGCCCGCTTGATTAACAAGTAAAAAAACAAAGGTTTCCAGGGATAATACCCCCTAAAACGCTTTGGGATTTTGTTGATTTATATTTGAGAAATATTTAGGAACGTTGGCGACATTAAAACCTTTGCTTTTTCGTATTGTTTTCTGGGGTCGTAAATGGCTCATTTGGAATTTGCTAAAAAAAAATAGGCAATTTTCAGCGCAGTGTTGGGCCAGGGTATATGCAGATTCGTTAAATGATATGCAAAAAACCGATTCAGAATATTTTTCCGAGCATTTAGGAAGATACTTGCTTTACTAGTAGCCCAAAGAAAGAATGCACCGATTTTTGATAAAATGTGCAGTCCATTGAGGCCCTTAATGGGTAGTGCTACTTTACTTTGAAAATAGGTAGATTGATGGGGAAAATAAGGTTTCAGAACATTCTGAAACTTGATATGGGAGCCCCTAGGGGGTGACTTATAATCCAGCTGCTCTCTAAAATTTGCATATTCGACACGCTTTCCTGTGCAAAAGAGCTCAAACTAACTTACTACTAAAGGCTCCAATCAATTTTATGTGCCGAAATGCCAACAAAATTTCAAGTGCATATGATATTTTTCACTGCAGTGTCTGTGAATTAAAGAATAAATCTCGTGCCCATCTATGATGGATTTTGATCAAGTTTTTCATGTTTCTTTTGTTTCTGTTTTTTTCTGTTTTACATTTTGTGTTGTAACTACCATGTAAGCTATACTACTGCTTTTTGCTCTGTAAATGGTGATCACTGTTGGGCAATAAAAGCATTATTATTATTATTATTATTATTATTATTATTATTATTATTATTATTATTATTATTATTATACACCATGTGTGATACGTGAAATCAACTAAAACAATTACAGGTTACGTTTTGTTAAAATTTCCCTTTCCAAACTCAACGCCGCTTCTTAATAAAGTAATGCATCCTGCATATCACCAATTAAGATGATGGCATTCCCTCTCCCATTATTGTACGAGTACAGCTAAAAATACGCACGTGACATTTTGCGATCGGCTGACGAAAAAATACACTGGTATGTACGTCCAGTGTTGTGTGTGTGAAGAGTTCGTAGTGATTTGTTTAGATGCTTCTTGTGATCAATTGCCCTCTCTGTTTTTGCAGCGAAGCAAAGATTTTTGATTTTCAGGTGATAAGTTTTTCATATCACTGACATTCATATTACTCATTTCCGTCGGCGTGTCTTTCTGTTGGCATTTTTTTACCTACATAATTTCTGGAATAGCTGAACTAATTTTGACGAAATTAGGGGAGCAGTACGTCAAGGTACAGTACTGTGTTTTGGAAGTATTAAACTGTACAAGATTATTGAGATCGGCTTGTGTCTCTGAATTCCTGCACGTAGAATACTGTCATCAGCAAAACTGTGGATTTGGTTGGTCGTACAAGAAAGGAGGTCGTTGATATGTAAGAGGAACAGAATCGGAGCCAAGACCTATCCTTGTAGAACACCCGCGTTGACGTTATTGGGTGAAGAGGAGAACCTGTTAATTACGACGAATATCTTGCGGCCAGAGAGAAAGTCGACTACCCATCTGCAAGGCTTCTCTGGGAGACCATAGGATGGAAGTTTGCATAAAAGGGCAGCGTGCCACAGCTGATCGAACGCTTTCGTGATGTCAAGAGTAACGACATTAGCCTCACAATAAGACTTGATGAGTTTACTCCACAATTGCGTGCGTAAGCTAGCAGTTTGATGAATTACAAAGAAACAACCAAATTTTAACTACCAGCAAGTGGTTAGTGCGGTGCTAGTGCTGGGGATTGGACAGTTGCAGTCCCCGTTAGGCAGGAGCTCCTGCAGGAGAAGGAAGGAAAACCCCAAATAAGTGCCTCTCTCAATCTGTTTCTGTGTGGTCACCAATAATTTTTATATTTATTCATAAAACAGAATACGCTTCTCTACAATCCAACGCTTTAGATACGTCAAATATTTAACTGATGTCAAGAGCAACACTATAAGACTGGATGAGTTTACTCCGCAATCGCGTGACGTAAGTTATGAGGTCCCTGTGGAACGCTGGCGCCGGAAGCCATACTGCCTGTCGCTAATCAATCCGTGATGTTCGAGGTAGTTCAGAAGCTCACTATTTATGCACCTCTTCATCCCCTGACTTATAACAGAAAGCCTATAGGCCTGTAGTTGTAGGGGTTGGTAAACAATAATAATAAATAACTCATGTTCAAAAAAGTTTTCAGACTCTTCAGGTATGCTATACAACCTTCTCGAACACATTAAAAGTGGATTAAAGGATAGTCCGGTGAAATTAGCTTAACTCTGAACGGACGTAATATATTCATGCCAGTTCTCTAACGAACTCCTGCGTAAAAGTCGCTGTTGACTGACCGGAACTTTAAAAACGAGCTCATGGGTGATTGGCATTCAACCAACCGGAACAAGTTTTTTGGTAACCAACTAATCTGTCAGTTAACATTAACTGTCACTATTAGTAGCTTTTATTTAACAATTACGTGAGAATGTAACTCCACGAGACTATATCGCCTAATCCAGCCCACGAAATCCACTACTTCCGTTCGAGGTGATTCTAAATAAACTTGCAAACCTAAGTTCACTAGACTTCTTTCATTGATCCATCCGACGACATCGACTACTACCCTTTCGAGGTGTTTACGAAGATTACTTGTGACGTTAATTTCAATACTATTTCCATTAATCAACCCAACGACATCGTCAATCCCCGATCGAGGAGTTTGTCAAATAATCTTGCGAAGTTAATTTCACTACAATATTGTCATTAACATACCGGACGACATCCACTACTCCCGTTGGAGGAATTTGCCAAACAAAGTTGCGAAGTTAATTTCACCGGGCTATTCTCATTAATTAATCCGACATCTACTGATCCAGTTCGAGGTATTCACCAAATAAACTTGCAAAACTAATTTCACTAGTCTATCTTCATTAATTCACCCGACGACATGACTGCTCCAAATGTTTTTGCCAAATAAACTTGCGAAGTTAATGTCACCAGACTATTTCCATTGATCAAGCCGACTGCAGCAACTCTCGTTCGGGGGTTTGCCAAATAAACTTGCGAAGTTAATGTCACCAGACTATTTCCATTGATCAAGCCGACAGCAGCAACTCTCGTTCGGGGGTTTGCCAAATAAACTTACAAAATTAATTTCATCAGGCTATTAGCAAACACTGTTGAATGTCATCTATATGAGCTAACATGCTCACAATCACTAAGAAAGAACATACGTCTGCTAATGCTTGTTCCAGACGGGGATTCAGCTGGTGAGTGTTAGTCAATTCAGCTAATTTCACCAGGCTATTTCCATTAATGCGCCCGACGATATCGATTACTCCTGTTTGAAGTGTTTGTCAAATAAGCTTGCAAATTTAATTTCACTAGAGTATTCTCATTCATTCGCAAGAGATATCCACTACTTCCATTCAAGGTGTTTTCCATAAAAACTTCCGAAGATGATTTAATAATAATAATAATAATAAATGGGCTTTATTTCGTACCTAAGTAAAAGTACAAAAAAGGTGAAGTGTCGCTAAGATTAGCGTTTTTCAATTTAACCTTTGAAAGAACAAAAAAAAATATATAATAAAACATTCCACCAATAATAATGTATCCTAATTCTCACCAGTCCATTTCCATTCATCAACCCGTCGACTCCAACAACTCAAGTTCGAGATGTCTGCTAGATAACCTTTGAAAGTTATTTTCACTTGACTATTGTCATTATCCACCCGACGGCATTGAATACTAACGTTCGAAGTATTTGCCAAATGAACTTGGGAAATTAATTTCACCAGAAACTTGCAAAGTTAATGTCACCAAGCTATTAGCTGCACGACTGTCATACGCGGAGGTACCACCCGGCGGATCTCGTAGCCGGGGCCAGAATGTGTGCATGTGCATGCTGCATGCACACGTGTTCCTTCGCTAGAGTCCGTGTGGCGTCCCCCCATTTTCCCCTGTATCTCCCTTAAGACCCACGGTACCCCATGGGTGTTTAGGCCTTAGGCCTTCATGGTAGCTGGAGTATAAAAAAACAGCATCTGACTTTTAGTGCTGAATAGAGTATGCTTTAGCTCCACTGCTGAATGGCATATAATTAGAGATATGTGCAAGAATGAACATATTCTGCTAAAGCATGTTTGAGACAAAGATGTGATTCAGCTAATGATCCTTAGTCAACGCAGCTACTATCACCAGGCTATTTCCGTCAATGCAGCCAAGGGTATCAATAACTCCGTCCGAAGTGTTTGTCAAATTAATAATCTTGCAAATTTGATTTCACCAGACTATTTTCAATAAAATCTACCATAAGGTAAAGAAATGCTTGCGTTCGAGGTATTTGCCAATTCAACTGAATATGTATACTCATTTATCTACCCGAAGACATCTACAACTTCCACTACAGTTTTACAAACTTTATTTCACTAGGCTGTCTTCATTACTGCCCCCGACAACATGGATTTTCACCGAAGCAGCTGCGCAGGCAGAAGTCTAAATGCCATGACACTGGCAGGGTTACTACGTAAAAAACCATAATGCCAAAAAATCTATAAAATGTCAACTTGGTGACTAAGTGAGCATGAAGTGAACGGCAGTAGTGCCAAGTTGACATCTTGAAAAAACTACATAATGTCAAAAAATCCGACAATTTAAAAAAAAACGACAATATTACTTTTCAAGTTACGTAATACCCCTGCGGGGCTACTATGAGGATCTTAAAGAAACTTTGTTAATCCGATTTTTGACTTGCTTAATGTTAGTAGAACTAGGAAAGGGTTCATCTTGTGAATTGTTGTACAATCTCGATACCTACGGACAAAGGAGCGGTCGTATCGGGTAGTTCCAGATATACGAAGTTGCACACTTAGGATAGGATGCCGAAGTCAGGCGGGTCTGTCTGTCAGGTACATCACGCGGCGACATAATGGAGGAGAGCTCTAAGGAGCAAAGCCCTTTGGTGTAGCGGTAGAAGAGAACTCGATCGCCGACGGCCCGCAGGTGCAAGTCATCGATCAGTCGGACAGCCCTCCTTGGAATAGCATCGAGCGTATATAATGTAGTCGGGGTGGAAGCATCCCAAACATGTGAGCAATACTCGAGGCTAGATCTCTTCTGGGCCTTGTACAAAGTGAGGTAATGTGGAGAAAAGCACTTCTCAGCCTTAAACAAATAGCCTAGGTATGTTATTTCCCAGCAGCTACCTTTATTGACGAGATGTGTTCGTGCCAAATCAAGTACTCGGTGATCTGGAATGCGGCCATCCATCGAAATCAGATATCAAATGAGTTTGCAAATTTAATTTCACTAGGCCAACTTCATGAATCTACTAGACAACTAGATGATTCCAGGTGAACAAAAAAGTTAATAATTTCACTACACGATTTTCAGTGATCGACCAGAGAAAACCGATGACTCTCGTTAATAAACTAAAAAATAAAATTGCAAAGTTAATTTGACTTGACTGTTTTTATCAATCCATTTGATGGTACCCACTACTCCCGTTCGAGTCGTTTTTCAAATGAACTTGCGAAGTTAATTTCACCGGGCTATTTCCATCAATACACGCGACTACAATCGACAATGGCTACTCCCGTTCGATGTAATTGCCAAAACATACTTATGTTAGTTGACTGTACCTGTTGGTCGATACTTACTTGAGCAGTTGATTTCACGAGACTATTCCTTTAATCTCCGAAGAAAGTCTGAAGACATTAACTACTCTCATTTGAAGTGTTTGCCTATGAAAGTCGCAAAGTTAATTGCACCAGACTGTGTATATCAATTCATTCCTTGATCCCCGACAACATCGATTATTCCCGTTCGCAGTTCGCCTACGGTTTAGTAAAGGTTAAGGTAAATAATAAATACAATATATGCATTCATAGTTTATATTGAAACTGTTACATTTATAATAAAATGACAAAGTATGCCTCTTCAGCCATATACTGTGAATAAATTGTACAATAATATACAGAAACAGATGACAAAAAGTATTAATACAGTCAACTGAAGTTTACCTGAATAGAGGACCACCTGATAAAACTATATGACACAACTAAATACATCGTCGCTTGAATGCATAAGTATTCCAAGTCACAAAATGCAAATTTTACAGGAGAGCTATTTTTCGTATTTGTGTCTTGCCTAACATTTCTGAGAAAGTCCGTGAAAGTGGACTTATATATGTTGCTGACATTGGACTTACAGTAGTTCTGTAAGTGATCATCTGCTCTTATCATAGTTCTGCAGCGAAATGATGAAATGATGCGCCTCAAGTTATTACGCCAAATATCGTTCAGGACCAGTGGTGGGGGAACGCTTGCGCAGGGACTTACAATACCTCTGCATGCAATGTAGGTGACTATGAGCTACAATGTCGTGTTAAAATCTGACAAATGAAGAATTTGGACATACAATAGTTCTGCATTCAGGCGACGACGTATTCTATTGACTACACGAATGGGTAGCTTCACTGTACTCTCCTCAAAGTATATCTATTTTATCAATCAAAGCTCAACCTCCAAGTTGAGTAACTCCAACTTAGAAGTAAACAGTCAGTTGCCCGACAATTTGTTTTCCATACTCTGGTTAACTAAACCATAGTTGCTACTCGTTGAAGTATTGTGATGCCAACCGTTTTGGTTTGTCATCCGTCATACGAGTAAATTAAGTCAGACATTGCGGTTCAACTAAAATTTCGTCTTCTGACTAAAGTTAACTCACAGTTGACTTCCAAATGCCTGTAAGGTCACAGTTCACCTGCGATTGAAAAGCCAGGCCTATATCGCCTCAATTCCAAATAAGAGATGTTTCTTTAATAACATTGCTCTACTGTCGGGCTTGTCTTCAGGTTTATCCCAAAACGGAAGTTAATTTTCACCAGAGGATCATCCATCGCTTCACACGAAGGTGTGGTTACACCGAAACGTTGAACCTGTTTTGCTTGACCGACACATTTAGCATGACTCTTCTGACCCTTCAAGCCGCAGAAGCAGTGATGACGCATTAACAATTAAAAGTTGAAGCAAAACTTGTAATGCAAATTCAGGGGCAGCTGATCAATTTTCATGTCAGAATAACAAATAATGAATGTTAACATATGGTTGAAAAACCGGTAGTTATTGATGCCAAAAACTGACTCACTGAAAAGAGGATAAATAATTAAAGCCATGCAAAAGCTAAGTAAAAATCCCTTGATATTGACAAAAATCGGCATTTCCATATCAGTGAATCATGACTAAGAGGCATGGATGAATATGTCTGTGGATTACAATAATGAGTCAGAGTCAGCACCTTTCTCACATTCAGTTGGTCCTCTACTGGTAATACAAAGAAAGTAGAGTAAAAATATTTTGGAATGTATAATTAGGAATTTTTCCTTGGAAGCGTTAAATTATTGTTATGGTCCGATTTTGGGTAAACTGTATTAGATCATGCTCAAGTCATCTTAACCTAACTAGGAAAATATATTACACAATATTAACATAATATCAAAGTAAATTTACAGAAAACTGTCTGGTACATTATCGGAATATACAAGGTAGTTTTCTATAAAATTGAGCGACTAGTTCAATCACATAACCTAAAAAGATTGCAACTTAACATAAACGAATTTAAATAGCATTTTTATATCAGATGACGCAAAATCACAAAAGTTATGCAAAAAGCATTTTTTCAGTCTAGTAAAGATGCTGGAACTTTATTAATTTGACAAAAAGGTTTTTAGTTATATAGATATGACGTTATAACCGACAGTTTCAAAAATACACACATTTTTCTTAAATATGAAAAATAGGTTTATCCTGGTAGATATATCGTAGCTTACGTCTCACAAGACTATAAATGGGGTATAAAAACTTGGAATGTCTTAAGAGTTATTTAAAAAAGATCAAGATCTAACAATGAAGCATCACACAAAATACGTATGTACGCGTATAGCAGTTTTGTAGCTTGTGAGAAAAGCATGTGAGATTTGCTTGGATGCTGACTATCATCAATGTAAGAAAATCACAAATGATCCAAAATGCATTTAAACAAAGATCTATCATTGCATATGTACAAATTCGATAAAAATATTCTTTTGCTATAAATAAAAGGTCTTAGATTAATATAAACAGAATCCACAATATTCAAAATAATCAGGTACATTCGAGGGAGGCAAAAACACCACATTGAAAGTGAAAACGGAACCTAATTATTCTTGCAAAATTTGCAAAACTCAAGTGACATAAGTTGCACTTCAGAATCGAAAATCAGTTAATTGACTAGCTGTAACCTGAGAGTTAACTGACAGTTGTTCGGTTATCTAACACATGGTGGCTGGTCCCAAGATCGATTGACAATGAAAGTCGCTTTCTAGGACTTAACTTCCAGTTAACAATAAACTCGTAGTTTGATAAAGGCATCCAAAGGTCACTCACTTGATAACCAATGATTCCAATTTTCGGAGATAATTAAATTCGGTGACAGAGACCCATACGACGTGTGACACTAAAACTTACAGTCAACCTGCGCAGGTAAGCTGCGACCTTGCTGTGCACTGGAAATTTACCCTAAAAAGCGTCCTTAATGGCTTGCTTGTCCCTAAAATGGAACTTTGATCAGAGCTCATTTATAGGTTCAATAGAGGATTGTACTTAAATCGTAATGTCAAACATAACTTGTTTGATAATGATACGAGACTGTCATGAGTTATCATGGATAACAGAAGACGCTTTTGTTCCGAATGTCGCATCACACGCAGAACACCATATAAGAGTCCTCAGAAGCAACGTTATCACATTAACACGCAATGGGTTAATACACCGGAACATACGACAAACTCACCGAGTTATGCCAGTTAACTTTTAGATTATAGCTTGTGAACCTGAAAGTTGACTTCCGATTGAAAAACGGGAACTAATAGGATAGGATGTGTAAATATGGGTATGCTGAGTTGAAGGAAATTTATGACATTTTTAATTTCAATATTTTTGACAATAATGTCTTCACCTCAGTACCCGTGAGGGAGTGAACTGTAACGGTAAAAACACAAAATACATAATTCGTGAGTATTAAATTGGGGATATGCGTTTTACACCGACAGATACATTAAATAACATTCATTTAAAACACAGGTTAGTACTTTAAAATGCTCATACTGCCGAGACTTGGGTCTCCTCATCATCTAACAGAAAAATAAAAAAAACTTTTGTTAGTTTTAAATGAAACATAATTTTGTACACGAGAAAATGCTTTTTTAAAACGGGAATGTCAATAAAGATTATGTAGTGTAGGTATATAAAGGTTTGCCCACGCGGTGACACGTTATGTCATCAATGTTGTAAATGTAACAAACAACATTCAGAGTCAGTTTTATAGACCTTCCTTGAGGCTTGAGTAGTTTTGGAGGAAACAACTGGAAACAATTAAACAACAAATCTTGGAACCACCTATTAACACTAAAGGGAGGATTTAATATTTGCATTGCACGGTAGGCTGTAACAGCTGTCATCACAAGCTTTCATCGATTTCAGAAAGATATTTCTTTGCTGGCCGGACCTATTTAACATTTTTATGATAAATTAAAGATGGTTTGGTTTTTTGCATTGAATAAGTACTACTAAAAGCAAAATAGTAATGCGTTTGCTTTCTTGATTTTACAACGAATATCGAATTCACAATAAGCGAATTATGGTATGATATCAAAGGTACATATAACTGAGAGCTAAGGAAGTAACTATAGTCTCATAAATGAATGTTTATAAAAGCCTTTTTTTCAAATCGGTAAGGGTCATAGAAGGGACTGCTGGGACCAGACATTCCATAAAGTTTAATTGTTTGTAGTAAATAGCGCAATATTATGCATATTTGCTATTATGTTATTTCTCTAGCTGTTACACAATCGTTCTTCTTACCATTTATTTGACATTGTCCCATATTTTTTTCAGTTGCTTACTTGCCCTCTTTGGTGTATTGGTCTCATTTAAGGTTTTTGCAATTCCCTCTTAGGCATTGTTTTTTTTATTTATAGTTTGTTGCATTTTCAATAATCAGTTCAAATGTATCTAATATTTCAAATGAAGAAATCTTCCTCGCTGAATTTGTTTTTAGATTGCAAACAGTCGAGTGAAATTTGGGGGTTATAAAATATTTACATGTAAAAACGTGCTCTACAACCAGTATAGCAGTTTGGTGCAGTACTGGTCGCTTATACTATATTAAGTTCAATTCGCTGTGAATCCTCTATTCGCTATAAAATCGAGAAAGTAAACATTATTTTTCAGTATTTTGTAATATTTAGCACAAAAAAATCAAACCTTTCAAAATTTATCATGACATCCGCTACAGCCTACTGCAGATAGTCTAATCATATTAGCAAATTTCCCCGAAATAATTGTAAAGTCTGGTTTTATTGATGCAAGTTGTTCAAGGGGGTATTGAAAACATGGACGCATAAAATGGGTACACCAATTTTCATGGGAAAATTTGTTATTCGACAACAAAGAATGAGAAAACATGTTTTTTTGGTTCAATGCAAAATGTTTTCAGGAACGAGTCTACTCTTCAAATAAGATTAATAAGTATTTATGAGACCTACAGAATGAGACTACACGTAAAAAGATCCCACTAATAGTAAAAAAGTTTGACGCAGCTGAGTGAAATTCTTCAAATCCGAGGGCTTCTTACTTCTAAATAACCACAACAAAATTGGAGTCGATTGGTCAAGTAGTTTTTGAGAATTTATAATTGCTTATCCCAAAACACCTGTTTTCCAGCCATCACTACTAGTTTATTGAGCTGGAAGTTCGTTCAAATGGTAATTTAGAGCAAAATACACGAGTTTACTTTCCGATATGAATCACAAGCTATCCAGAAAGATAATTGTTATTTTTAAGCGAAAAACGAGTGGTAGGTTTGTTTATTTGTAAGTAATTATTTTCTTCGCAACAAAAGGTGATAATGTGAAAATGTGTATAATAATGTATATTTTTCTAATATCGTAGCGAATCTGTTCAGTTACTTACAAATACGAAATGTTTGAATTTGTTTAGGAAAAAAGAAGGTCACCTTCATTTTTCGCATAAAAATATCAATTCTGTCGGAATGGCTTGTGGTTCATGTCGCCAAGGTAAACTCGTGTATTTTGCTATGAAATGCCCTTTGAACGAACCCTGTATATTGCTCAATAAACTAGTAGTGGTGGCAGGAAGACAGGTGTTTTGGGATAAACAATTACAAATTCTCACAAAGTACTTGACCAATCAACTCCAATTTTGTTGTGGTTATTTAGATGTAAGAAAACTTCGGATTTGAAGAATTTCAAGTAGCTGCCTGAAATTATCGTCGCATTAGCAATAAGTGCCAAAAATCTGCCTCGGTTTTCAGCCATAACTTTTCTACCATCAGTGGTATCTTTTTATGTGTGGTCTCATCCTGTAGGTCTCATAAATACCTAAAAATCTTATTTAAAGAGTTTTTTCGTTCCTGCCAACACTTTCGATTGAATCCCAAAAAACACGTTTTCTCATTCTTTGTTGTCGAATAAAAAGTTTTCCCACAAAAATTAGTGTGCCCATTTTATGCGTCCATGTTTTAAATACCCCCTTGAACAACTTGCATCAATAAAACCAAACTTTAAAATTATTTCGCAAACCACGGGTAATTCCGTCTAATTTGATTAGACGACCAGAAATGCTAATGTTAAATCCTTATTTGAACGTTCTTTAAGGAAGAGTTTTTGTTTCATTATCTCCAACGAGATATCTTTCCTCCAACACCGCGAAGTTTTAAGGAACGTCTATAAATGAGACTCTCGGTGTTACCCATTGACCATGTTTATACCATGTTTTCTGATGCTACGCTAAGCGCTATCATCATGTTGTTTCTGGCGTTGACGCCAAAAAATGAATCTGCATCACTCATTCAAAGCGTTCGTTTCGTAATATACCTCTATCAGCGCCATTGCCTTGATGCAAATATGGATAGTGTTCCTATTATGAAATTTACCAGCATTCGATAGTTGAAGTCATAGCATCGATATCGTGAAGACGAACTTCATGTAACATAACTCTTAAATTGCTTCCAAAAATCTATGATGATCATATAGTATGACTTTTTCCCACATTTTAAAAGCACTTGCTCTGTTATGACGTGATGTGTATATCTTTCCAGTGTTTGTACAATAGTCAGTAGTCAGTGTCAACAATGTCGTCCAGTGTCGTGTACTTTGTCACACCATAATGATGAGAGTATCTGATTCACAGTCAGAGAAGTCACCTAAACCAAAACAATATAGTAAGTCAACGATATGAAATCAGAAACCGAATATGTCAATTGGTAGATGTATGATATGAATGTTTGAAAGGAGTAAGGACAATATGTGGCCTGAACGGACATGTGTCTTTGTAGATTTATACTCATTCATCATCCTATGACATTTGCATTGAGTACATATGACTCACTATCAGGACTTTAAATGCTTGAAGATGTACCATAGAAGGAATTTGGCCAACGCCTAGGCGTACTTATCACATTTAAATTCGTAATATCTGTCAAAAGTTCGTAAGGCTGTTTTCGCAGTTTCTCGTTATTTCGTCAACCAGTATTCTATTACGTCCAGTACTGGTGTAGCAATAACTAAGTCGCTGTATAATCAAAATCTTTCGAACTCATCTGATACTTGCCTTGATCCGTATCAGGATCCGTGTGATAATGGTAACCTTGCGTAACTCCTTCATGAGAATGTGCCCTTCCTAGCCTGTGCAGTCTCGCCATCTGAGCAGCTACACTATAGGCTGGAGGTTGTCGTCTTCCCGGTACTGTAATATACAAAAAAGAGACATTCAACCGATGGTTATAGATAAGAAAACATGATGATTTAGTAAGTACTTGTATGATTTTATGGCCCGGAACGTAAAATAGCATTTTAAAAAGTCGTTTTGTTATAGTTAAAACCAACGGTAGTAGTTAGTTTTCGCCTGTCGATACTGCTGATAATGTGATATTAGATACAAGGTCTGTAAATTAAGTGATAAGAGTGGCAACATAGGGTTCGATCTGGCAAACACGGGAGGCGCTGGGCTTGGAGGGGGGACAGGGGAACATGTAATCCGCTTTCTGTACAAGTTTGAACTCGCTCGAGTCATTTGGTTGTCTGTAGCGATTTTTCTTTGAGAAACAGTTTTTTCTGTTGTGTTCTTCAAATGATCAAGTGGAACGGAATCTCTTAAAAAACAGACCTTTGGAGTGTTTTGTCAAGAGCCCAGGCCATTTCCAGGAGGGAGAGGATCAATTAAAGATAAACATCGAAGCGAAAGGCTCTTCAACAACCGATGAAAGTATCGACAGAATCCGAGATCTTGTGCGTTCAGATGGTCGGCGTCGGTTGACAGTCAGAATGATCGGGGAAGAGTCAAATTTAACTCACACCACCGTTCATCAGATGGAGAACAACAACGATAATGCTGATTGAGTTTTTGGCCAGTAAAAAAAATCATGTGGCTCCTCAGCCTCCTTATTCGCCTGACTTGAGTGCTTGTGGCTTTTTTCTCTTCCAGAAGTTGAAAAATCACCTCAAGGGACAGCTGAAAGCTATTCCAGTATCGAAGTTACAGCGCTACTATGAGGAGTGGAAGACCCGTATACAGAGCTGTGAGGCTTCAGAAGAAAGTCATTTTGAGGGTGACATAAAATTTTAATATTTGAACGAAAAATTAAAAAATCAGTATCATCACTTAATTTACAGACCTCGTATATATGATTCAATGTGTATCGTAGACTTGAAGAAAAGTTACTCAGTTTTCTAATGAATCTCACAGTTGATTCTCGGAAAGTATCTTTAAATGTAAATTTCGAACAGAAATAACATGAGGACAGAAAGCTACATACTCGTCGTGACAAGCAAATGTACAAGCAATCACATAGTAGAGATTATCAGTAAGGCAACAAAAATACATAAAATGATATTAAAACATGTCTACAACAACAAAAGTGTGCATCGCTACCGTAGGAAATTGATTTAAGTACTAAATAAGAATAGTAAAATAATCTATGGTGATCATGAATACTTAAGTACATTGTTTGAACATTCTAAATTACCGTCACCATCAACTATATAGGTGTTGCCTTAGTATTGTGTTGTTATTGTGTTAGCCTTATAGTAAACAAAGTACCACATGCAAAAAGCGATGAAGCAAGGTGCCAAAAGCATAAAAGCGAGGTTAGCCAACAATTTTCCTTAGTACAAGTATAAGATTAAATGGTTTAAATCAAATTTATATACAAATACAGAGTAGATTTTTATATTGAGATGTTATGAAGTGTTACCAAAATAGAATATTTGTCAAGCTTGAGGATCATTCAGCTTGAGCTGAAAGAAAATATGAATTAGAACTCCAATAAGGCAAGCCTTGAACTGAGTAGAACAGTTTGGATGAAATAATGTACTAGGTCGGTTTTTTACAATTTTGCTGGCTATCTATAATCTACAAGAATAGGACATTAAAAACAACTTATTCTGATGTTAAAATTTTTGCGTAGTCTGCTCGCCTGTGGACTGTGAATGAATTTATATGAAAAGCTGATAGTACGAATAAAAAACGAAACACCAAAACTACATTATTTTTTTGTTAAAACACAACATTGCAAACTAAACGACGTGTCTACGTTTTTTTTAGAAAACTTACCGTTCATATTGCGCAAAGCGTGAGGTAAAGGAGGTAATACGGCGACTGCATGAGGGCAAGGAGGCATTACAACACCCGTATTGTTTGGAAACCAGCCTATTTGCCAATCACAAGACATATCATCAGATAACTTTTATTATAAATCGCATATTTACAATATTCACAATTATAATATACACAGTAAGTATGGTTAGCAAGGTATTTATGCAATGCATTCTAGATACAGTGCGAAAGGATATACTATTGAAAACGGTAAGTAATTTGTTATTTACTAGGTATATCCCCATCTCATATTTTTAATTAGAAAGAAACACTCACTATGGAAAACTGACACTGTTGAGTTATTTGAACTAGGTGTTATTAAGAGTCTGGCCAAATTTCAAAGGTTGATTCCTTAGATAGTTCCCCAAACCCAAGCCGCCAAAAATTAAATTCAACGCAATGACTTAAAATTCTGCGACCTAAATACAATGTGTTTAAACTATCTATTCAGCATTTCAGCTAAATTTTCGGCAATACCTGATAATTTCCAACACGCTTCAACAAAACAGTCACCCAAGCAATGACCCTTTGATATTAGGACACGTATTTTAATAACCCCCTGTATAATGCAGATGTTTCAGGAATGCTATGGAGTTCCATTGGATGCAGATTTGCGCTTTGCTTTTTGATATATTTAACCGAGACCATCGGATATTTAGCATAGCAGAAACGAGGTGAAGCGGAATTGAAGTCGTAAGCAAATACAAATTTCTCTGATATATAGTTTAGTATTAACCTATGGTCCAGTAACATTTAGTATTCGCCTTCATGCTTCATGACTAGTTGCATAAGAAGCTAAGAAGCAGTCTTGCCAGAGGAATGGACACCTACATATATTATGTGCCCAACAGTTCTATCAATTTTTGGATAGATATTGTGATATTTTTCAAACCGTTGTTTTATCTGTCATATCCGAGTATACCAAATTGGCAGTTTGAAATATTTTTCTTGTTTTTTCTTTTTTTTATTCACTCAATACAGTCACTTTAATTTCTCAAATAAAATGTAATTCTAGTTAGAGTTGAATTAGAGCGATTTTCTGGATCATTCAAATAATGAATTTCGTTAACCCACACAATTTCTTTTATTCCAACATCGACCATCGACGTGAATAGAACCGCCGCGAAATCTTTCATTGTACATGTCAAACGTTGAAAATCGCTTCGCTTCGCATGGTTCTAGTGCGGGACTTCTGATTTGGTTATGTGTAAACGAACTCGGCGGGATTTTCACTTCCCTAATGTTTGTTTCTCCTCCCTACAATGAACGTGCGTTTACGTTCCACGTTAAACAAAATTTCGCAACTAGGAGTTCTGTAAATTAAGTGATGAGACTGGCAACGTAGCGTTCGATCTGGCAACACTGCAGGCGCCGAACTTGGAGGGGAGACATGAAAACCTGTGATCCGCCTCCAGAACAAGTTTGAACTCACTAGAGTCATTTGGTTGTCCGTAGCGATTTTTTTGTGTAACAGCTTTCCCTATCGTGTTCTAAAAATGAGTTACATCAATTTCGAGCAACAGAGTGATGTCAGGTTTTGCTTCAGACTTGGGCACAGTACAACCGAAAATCTTGCTAAGCTTCAGCAGGCCTACGCAAATAGTGTTTTTTGTCAAGAGCCCAGGTTTTTCAGTGGTTTAAGGCATTTTCAGAAGGGAGAGTCGATTGAAGATGAACCTCGAAGCGGAAGGCCTTTATCTTCAAGAACCGATGAAAATATCGACAGAATCCGAGATCTTGTGCGTTCAGATCGTCGGTTGAAAGTCAGAATTATCGGGGAAGAGTTAAATTTGACTCACACCACTGTTCATTAGATCAAGGATCATCTAATGTGTTCACGATAATGCTCTTTGTCACACAGAAATGTCAATAAACTAGTTTTCGACCAGCAAAAACATTCCTATAGCTCCTCATCCTCCTTATTCGCCCGACTTGAGTCCTTCTGATATTTTTCTCTTCGCAAGTTGAAAAATCACCTCGAGGAGGACTCATTTTGGGAAAGTCGAAAACATTCAAACGGCTGTAACCGACAAGCTGAAGGCTATGCCAGTATCCGAGTTCTAGCACTGAGGAGTGGAATAACCATCTCCAGCGTTGAGAGGATTCACAAGAAGTTATTTTGAGGGTAACAATATAAAATTGTAATTACATTTGAATACAAAAAATTTGTCTCATCACTTAATTTACATGTCGTCGACTTTCTGTGAGACATCTACTCAGTTTGGTACACCCGAATATGGCAGCTCACGGATCAAGCACCGCCTACTCATCATCGCTCCCCCACTTATCATCGCCCCACCCAACCCATACGTCGAAGCTACGTCACTTACCTGTCAATTGAGAAGGATGGCCAACGGGTGCGGGAGGCGGAGCCATGGGTGGCGGCAGAGGCGGTTGCCCCCCGTAGAGGGCGTGACAGTCGCCCGACGTACTCGTTGCCTGGCTGATGGTACTGTGGCCGCTGTCTGATGATGTCACCGAGCCTGTAGAGAGAGACAATCACGTGCAGATGGTGGCAGCGAAAGGGGTGCGTGCCGCGATGAAGACGTGCAAATGAGATGAGGGAGGGGGGATGGACGATTTTAATATAGTACGGATGTTGTGGTGCCGTAGGAAGAAACTCACGATGTAGAATTAAATATCACAAGCCAGTCTACAACAGAAATATTAGTAAAATTCTGTTCAAAAAGAAAACAATAGAAAAAGTATGTCAAAATTTATAAAGAAATTTTTATAATTTATCATCTTCTGGTAGCAAGATACTCAAAATACAGACAACAAAGTCATATACAAGAATAGGTGGATGTGCTTATCAATACAAATAAACATACAATTTTTAAAAATTTTAAATGCTCCAATTTATTGTTATAGTCAATTTTTTATCCACCATCAACATAACCCAATATCATGTATAAAGATCAAGTCAATTAACTCAAGTGAATCGATGGATGAATAAAATGAAAGCAATTATTATCCCCCTAAACACCACAATCATAACTACAGCTAGCTTACAAGTAATGTTATTTGGTAGGTAGTATAAAATGCACTATCATACAATGTTCCACAAACGGCATGTGCACATTCAAAGTTGATTGCCAGAAAACAAATGTCAATTAAATTAATCTTGATTCATTTATGATAAGTAACAGGTAAAATTTGTGGCTAATTCATCATTAAATTATAAACTGTCGGTAAAGCATATCTGTAAAATGTAAATATAAATATATGTACATATACGCTCATATTTCATCGGAATGCATACCTGTCAAATGTTAAGGCTTATAGACTGAGAATTATGAACAAAAAATAACAAGAGTGAGAAGTGGTTTCTTGAAGAGTTATATTTTGGGAATGACTTGTATTAATTTTTGAGAAATTAACTATTGTAAATCAGTATAAAATATTTGCCAATTTTTTGGAAAATTATATGTTGTTATCGTTCCAAAACAATCAAAATTAATCCGACTTGTGCTTTATACGTGTATTTATGGTGACTCGAAAAGAACATACTGAGCTTCAATATAAGAATGCAAAAAAGCTTGAATATTGTTAACCAAAGCTGCGTTCCAGTGGTTTTAGGTTTGAGAGTGATACGCTTTCGAACTGCTCCAGCAACAATGCATGAGAATACAACGTGAAGTGGAAAGGTATTGGTGCTTAGCATTACTGAGTTAGAGCACCGCGTGGCACCGCGGACTTTTGATTGAATGTCAGTCAAAATTATGCCAAAAAACCTACATGTAATTTAAAATTAAATATATTTGCTGCAAACTCCACATATTAACGAGCATAATCATGAAGATATGAAAACGTATATCACAAATTCAAACTCAGTGATAGAAGCACCATCACTGTCTATAGGATATTTTACTCCCTCGTTTTTTAGAAATGGCCTTCAGATCTTTATATATATGGAGTGTCCCGCTATAAATTCTATCTACCTAATCTATCTAATTCTTCTACCTTTTTGTATGGTTGTGAATCCGAGTTTGCATTTGCATCTAGCGGTATATGGTATCTGGTATAGGGGGTGATACATATAATTTGGGTTTTGGACTAAAGTAATGGAAATAGGCATATTAAACCATATACGTAATATTTAGAATTTAAAAAATGAGCCTCATTTTTGCTCAAAATATACAATATACAGGGTGTTTCAAATTTGACCTTCACCATTGGGATTTCGGAAACTGTAAGAGATACGAAATCGCTTAATTAACAAAATGCTGCTTAGAAAGTTTCTAAATTCGAAGTTCTTCCGAATAAAGACGAAAATCGAATTTTCGCAATATCGTTTTAATTTTTTCCTGACTTTATTTGTAGTGGGATTTTAAAATAAATTGCACATTACCATTGCCACTTTTTCTCATCTACAAGATGGCATAATTAGAATTCCAATATGATGTTTCGTCTTTGTCATCCAGCATCAATTTTATTTTCACCTTGGATGTTATATTGGATTTTTGCACAGCTGAATAGGGTTTTTAATTCTAATTCTAAAAATGATCAATACGTCGTACATTGACATCGCCAAACTTCGAAATTATCAGATAGTCATTTGTTTCACATACCAGATTTATGGTATGCAAACCAAATGACTATCTGATAATTTCAAGCCCTACCTAGGCAATTCTGCTTTTTCTGAAATAACTAAAGTTTGGCAATGTCAATTTATGACGTATTGTTGGAATCAGAATTGAAAAATCTATTCATCTGTGTAAAAATCCAAAATGGCGTCCATAACAAGAAATAAAGTTGATGCTGAAGGACAAGAGACGAAACGTCATATTGAAATTCTAAATAAGCCATCTTGTAGAGGACAAAAATGGAAATATTAATATGCAATTTATTTTAAAATCCCACTACAGATAAAGTCAGGAAAAAATCAAAAAAATTTTGGAAAAATTCGGTTTTTTCCGTCTCTCTCCAGAAAAACTTTAAATTTCGAAACTTTCTAAGCAGCATATTGTTGATTACCTAAAAACGCGACTATGCCCCCATTTAAGCGACTATGTATCTCTTACAGTTTCCGGGATCCCAATTATAATAAAAATATACAGAAGTACATGCAAAAAAGTTAAGATGGGGTCAATTTATAGGATGACTGCCGTTCAAAAGTTTCTCGACACATGATGGTTGATAATTAAAAATAAAAAAGAAACAACAAGTTGGGTCATATAGCATAATTATATATCATTCCACCATTCTTTATTTTATTCCCTAGTCTGAATGTACCTCACATAAAAAATGTAATTTTTGCAGCGCAAGTTACACATCTCTTTAGTCAAAAAATTATAATTAATATTATTTGCCGACAGTTCCGACGTAAACGATATCGTGTGTAAAATCAAAATATGCTTATTGTCCGTCAGGAGTGGTTAATTCAAATCGCGATTTATGGTGAGAGATCATATATAAGTGATGCCCAGGCGCATATTCTGTGAACATTGATTCAGGTACTCTACCTGAAGATACCAACCTAATGCTATATTCCTGATTCCGAAAAATTATCGGATAACATGATATACAGTAGCGTCATCTATGAGAATTTGTCACAGCTGTTTCTCTATTTACTATATATATTTGGAAAAGGTTAGTGTCGCATAGATGGCTCTGTAGCTTTGATTGTATATGGTCATATAGACCGCACCATCTTCGAGATATTAACATTTTCAAAGTAAAATTAGTAAATATAGAAACAGCTGTGGCAAATTCTCACCGATAACGCTACGATGTTGGATCCGGAAATACAGCATTAGGTTGGCTATCTTCAGAGCTTTTATTCAAGGCACATTACAAACTATAGTCCTCTGTTCTCCTAGCAAATTTTTTGTGACGAACTTGATCGACGAGTTACCTAATAAAAAACAAAAAACTCGAAGATAGAAGAAGAAAAAAATATGTGTAAATACACTTGTGATGCTGTAAAATTGTATATTTGTGGTATCTACCTATCACCCGAAAGATTAATATATACAATAATCGTATTATATTAAAATATTCTTTCTCTGTATGATCCTCGTTCAATGTATTTTCTCAGCTTTAAGTAACAATTATAAACAGCCAACCAAAGAAAGTTATGCAAAGTATATGCAAAGTACCACCATGTCCTCAAATAAACAATAGAACATTATCCCACTCACCAGAAGTGACAGTCTTTCTGAGAGGCAGGTTGCTGAGCGACGTGACGCTGCTGCTTTCGGCAGACAGCGCGACAGAGGGCAGTGGCGTCGGCGTGTCCGAATGGGATCGTTCGTGCATCGCCCTGCCCCCCGCCCCTGAGCTGCTCGAGCTGTGCGAACCGTAGCTAGAGTAGCTGCCTATGTGGAGAAACAAGGAAAATGTGTTGTTAGGTTGCAGTTGTAGTTAGTAATGTGGTGCATAAAGATTAAAACTCACGTTTGGATTTCATAATTTCAAAGAAAGGCTATCTGCAATGAATATTATGTAAAGAAAAACGCAATCTGAAAGTTGCGATTGCAAAATTTGTGAGTTGAATACTATATAGGACATACTTTTAGCATAAGATGTGAAGAAGGAAATATGACAATATAAAGATCGCATTTAGCTGCTTGTCTGCGCAACTATAATAGGCATGTGTATAGGTTCAGAGGTATTTCATTAATTGCAGTGCACGATAAGTTCGTAGCACAAATTTTGTAAGAGTCTCAATCTGATTTAAGAAATCGTAATTTGATATTAGGAATTTTAATCTGACACTTCGCAGTTGCACTTAATAAGTGTGCGTCCAGCCGAAACGTCAGTAGTAATTTATTCAACATCTGTGGAGATTGATTAGAACAAAAAGCACATGACAAGATTCAGAAAGTACACTAAACGTGTATGAGATACGATTAAATAAACTTAAAAATTACTACCCCTTAAAGTGATGTGTATCTAACATTACTTATGTCGACAATTTGAAAATGGTGGCTCCATTGGAAAAACCATTCCCATAATTTTTTTCTTTTGATCACCTTTGTCGAAGCAATGACTCAAGTATTCTTTCTGAAGATGGCCAACCTAATACTATATTTCCGCGTCCAAACACTTATCCGAAATCAAATGAGGTACTGTATATATGGGAATTTGTCACTGCTATGTTTCTCTCCGCACTAATTAGAAATCTACTTTGAAAAACTGTCAGTCTCTGTAGCCAAATATATGTTATGCTACAGACTAATACAGGCAACAGCGCCAGTATGAGACACTAACATGTTTAATGAGGAGAGGGAAAATATAGCTGTGGCAAATTTTTAGATGCGAGAGTATAGTGTTGGGTTGGCTATTTTCAGATAGAATACGGTGATCAACAGTGGAAGGCTCCGGAATAAGGGAATTTTCTTTTACATGGCGTATAGATCTTGGGAAAATTAGCAGTTTATTCTAGTAACATATACACCAAAGTCTTAAGATTACCGAGATGTTAGGCTCGGTATAATAAATCAAACCTAAACAACAAGAAAATTACAAACGTAGTTGTTTCTGAAAAGGAATGTCCCAACTTTCAGGACATCCTGTATTGCCCACGTGAATAATAGTCCAAATACTCGGCCAGATTACAATACCGTCAACCGGGTATTCGGCGAGGTGGTCATTTCAATTACTAGCTGTTATATTAAGTTTACATTTGACATGCGACAAAGACGTCTATTTTTGAGAGGGAAACGCCGTAGGTTAGTGTATTCTCCATATTTGCATATTTGTTATTTTTCAAATATTCAGGGTCTTGCAGCTGCTACGTATATGTTTTTCAAATAAAATTAAGAGCAGACACGTACATTGGCATAACACTTTTGGAACAGTTTTTGATATACTCATTCTGTCATATTAAAAGGGAAGCACATGTTACACTATAAAAATATGGTAGGAACGTATTTTTAGACTTATGGAATGAAACTTTTAGTTGTAAATACATTTTTTTCAAAGGTAAGCAACGCCAGGTCCCATGCCACTCAAATTTTGAAAAAAATTTAGAATCGCTGCCTTGTCATATGCAGCCATCACGAATATAGAATTTAAATTCAATAGGTTTATGAGGATGATACAAAAAAACTGCTTGATGTGTCGGAACAAATTAAAAATTTGGGATGATGTTAGGCTACCGCGTTCGTATAATGTCATTTAGAGAAGTAATGGTCGATAATAAAAATGAGTAGATGGAATGACAAAAATTTTGTGCGACTGGTAAAAAAAAATCAGAACATTTTTTCGCGGGGCACATAATCGATATTATGTCTATAATTTATCTAACGGAACCACCATTTTCAATATTTCAAAACTATTCACTACCTACAACATTTTACAAATGCATCCAAATCTTGCCATCCATCTGGTACCTCTTTGACTTGATGATCACTTACCTGTGGCACTTGGCGCTCTCCTGACGACAGGACTGGGTTGGTTGGCACTGATCACGTGTCCAGGTGCTCTTGGCTGATGAGGTCTGGTTTTAGTAGGCTCCGATAATGCCAATAGTTTGCGGACCGCCTGGGGAGAGGCTGACCCTGTGTGTATATTTATCACATTTACATTTAGCCAATGACCAATGTATTGGAATTTAAATACGATTCATACGATCAGCATTATCGGAATATTGAAGTAAGGATTGTTATTTAGATTTTGTGAATGAATGTATGAAATAATAAGTATTTTGAAATGTGACTTCTAGTATGCAAAGAAAAGATGTGCTATTTTAAATTCGGCATAGCAAGATGTTATATTTGTAATTCACCAGGTAAGAAAAATTGTTGGCGTTACCAGGGCATAATATGGTATGCTAAGGCCCCATACCCACAGTGCATGCATAATTCGAATGGATGATGCATGCAGGGTACATGCACTGTAGTGCCAATTGAAAATCCACGCATTTATCACGTATTGGTACAAAGATGTAGCTGTTATTGATGACGTTTTCTTTGCGAGCAAGAGGTTGATGATCAAGAATCCAGATTTAAACTTCATACTGTTAAGAAGGAAAAAATAACTCGCCCACTGAATTGCAAATATACTTTTGTCCGTATAAGATAAATATTTTGGATTGAGAACATTAGTAACCCAAACCATTGATTAATGTATTCCACCTAAAGATGGCTAACCATATATTGTATTCTAGCGCCCTAAATGGGATCGCCATCTATGAGACAGTATCAGAACACATAAATGAATTTAGAAATCCATTTTGAAAACTTAGAGTATTTTGTTCTGACAGCGTCTTATAGATGACGCTAGGATTTTCGATTTCTTTTTGTCACATCACTAATGCTTCTTTTCATCAATGAGGCAGATTCTTTTTTAGAAATACCGTATATGGTTGGCAGGTAGAATAAGTTAGACAATGCCCAAATGTAGAAGTGTAATTAAGCATACTAGGTATAAGAAAAGCAACAAGTCTCATAGAACGTGAATGTTTGGAATCTTCTGTTCTTTTTATATATAATATTTGTACCATTTACTGAGAGTGTCCTTTCTTTGGTCAGGTAAAAAAAAGAAGCAGATATTTTACTCACCGAACTTGGCCGTGGTCTTCCTCTCTTCCCCTCCGCCTGCGCTACTGGTACTGCTGGTAGTAGATGGCGCTGGTGAAGGGTGTCGTTTTCCTCGTATTCCTGCTCCCGTCATGCTGCCCATCATCCCTGCTGCCATCTGGTTTAAGGATGATAATTATATTAATATTTTTCCAAGATTGTACATTTTTATTCATAACTGAAACTGCATAAAATCCAAGCTGGCGTTATATAAAAGACAACTGTGTCAAAAGTACCACATATTGAACCGATCGCGTTCAATGCGAGAGTTTTTCTTCAATTACAGTGTGTACCATCGTCAGAAGACAGTGTTCCTCTGGTCCACTTAAATGACAGGCTCGATGTCAACATTTGTTAATACTCGACGCGATGTACTGTTAGCACACCATTGACACTAAAAAGGCAGACAGCACAAGGAGTGTTTAAACTGTAAACTACTCAGGCACATGGAATAAAAAAGTGGTGTATCTTAGGAATCCCACTATGTCTTCCCATGTACTTTTTCACGATGAATACGAATATGAAGTTAAAATTGGGGAAAGGTAGACAAATATGAACATAATTTAGACATCAGGATTAAAAAGGTGCAATCTTAACGCCTGAATTACTTTTTTATTTGTCCACCAACATCCAATGTTAAATTCAGATCCAGAAAAAGTAGATGGAAAAACAGTGGGACTATGAGAATGACTATAGCACTAAATACTGATGATATGGACCACAGTAAATACCTTAGTAACGCGCGGCCAAGGCTCGAAGTAATATTTAGTGAGCGTCTATCGTATTTCATCGCTCTGGAGTGACAAAGCTGTTAATTTCGATCGGTTAGGAAAAGCATAGTTTTTCTGTTCTTTTGAAAAATTATGAACACGGTTGCGTTTCTTGGAATTACCTTTCTCAATTCGAAATCGATCAATTTTAGAGCAACCTCACTGGTTACCTTTTTTGAGCAAGATTGGTAAAATCATTTTGACTAATTTTCATGTCAGTAGCATGTTGATCCTTTACCTCGAACCTCTTATAGAGGTAATTATGAAATGAGATCCAAAAGGATTCAAATGTAGTCGTGTTACGGTTTTCTTTTATGGTCGAAATTAACTACATCTTGATAAAATAGATTATTGCATTGCAGAGTTTTTCTTATTTAGAATAATAATTTTATAGCAGTGCTTAAAAACATCGAATTTCATGTTTATAACAACCACTTCTCTCAGTCTAATAATTTTAAGGTAGAAAATCGTACTCTATTCTCCATCTTGGAGGTTATTTTTTATAATTTCTGTCGACGGTAAACACTTGAGCTGAAGGTGACTTGGTGTAGAAATTTTCTGCCGCCCACTGTCCGATTCTGTGAAAGAGAAATCGGCCGCCTTAGTAGTTTTTTATCGGAGCCTTTTTCGCACCCTCTTGGGGATATAACCGTGCAGATAACTATACCCAACCATCGAGCGTGACCATTTTCTCCAAGCCACATGTTCATTTCCTTAATATGATTTCTAATTCTATAGAGGGGAACCGCCTGCAGTCCAAGGCGAGTTTGAGTGGGACTCACGCCTGAGAAGAACAGTTCCCCATTTTTGGAGAACCCTTATTGTTCGAGGTAATGATGTTACTTTACTTTGCTAGGCCTGCCTTAATCTCGTACAAACTAGAAACACAACCAGATTGTTCAAAAATTAAGCATGAGTCTATCCGTAATTTTATTTGTGCCAGTGTAGGCATTCTTATGTAACATTAGGGTTATACTTTAACCATTTAATTATCCATTGTTCAGGTCATTATGCAATTCGTCAAAAACTATTAATTCATCAACCTATTTAGTGGTAAAAAGAGAAATGTTTTGAATTTCTCATTGGTAACATTTATATATTATTTTGTATCATAGTACATATATACTGTTATTTTTATATGGCGGTAGCTTCTGATATTAGTTGTATATTTACTGAAATTTGAGTGAGCCGTGCTCACGAGGTTAAATGTTCATGTGGTTCTTAAGTAACATTTTCATTGCTTTACTTCTAAGATGAGGGAGGACATGAAATATTTTACCACCGGGTCCTGTTTTTACAGGTATCTGATTATTTTGATTTAGTTCAGGTTAATTTAAAATTTGAGCATCACTAATGCAATCACGATTTTCCTTGTACACTGTGATTGAACAACAACTTTGTTTTAATTTTAAATTTTTGAATGGTAGTAGCTCAAGACTAAATGGTTCCATGCCAGAGTTAAATCTTTAATTCTTGGAAGTAAATTAAAAGGGGATATTAGTACTCGTAATCAAAACATGTTTCCGAGTTTTTATTAACAAGTATTTTTTTTATACGTATATATAGAGTTCTACCCTCCAGTTGCACCATCCGGTTTTTCCTTGGATTCTAACTTCGGGTATACAGTAACATCTTGGACTTCCTGCCTCGGTTGCAGTTCGGGGATAGCCAAGGTTTGTTTTTCAATTTTACTTTTATTGGTAACCATTTAGCCAGGGGGATAATACGAAATAATTTACTTAGTCTGTCCTCCAGGACTTCTCTTTAATTTTTTTATTTTGGTTGTCCAATAAATGTCTGGATGCCTTATGAGCTTGTGTCTCCTTAGCTCCATTGTTATTTCATTTTCCTAGTTTTTGAAACTAGGTGGCGCCCAAACTGCAACCGCTTTGCATCCAAAAACTAATGCACAAATAACCTCACCCTGAGATCTCATATCCAACGACATTGTTATTGCCGCTTTGATTGTCTAATGTTTGGACAAGGATACGAGGTTTAAATACTCACTCCTCCGACTCCACTAGCGCCTCCACCACTGGTAGTGGTAGTTGTTGCCGCCGCTGCAGGTTCGCACTCCAGCGACATCTCGTGGAGTCGCTGTTCGTCAGTTTCAACGTGCAAGTTGTTCAGGTACGCCTTCACGCGCCGCACCATCTGTGACTCTTCGAACATCTTCTTTGGGTTCGGGGCGGCCGTTGATTTTTTGCGCCGTTTCACAGTCGCTTGCCCTGGAGACAAATAACAATGCCAAAGTAGTGTCGATTCTTCATAAGCTTTAGTGATAAATATCATGTAAGTTTTGGATGTAGCAGCCATTGTTAGCCTGTTTAGCTGATACCAGTGTATTACGTTTGAGACATTCTGCAGTATGCTTTCTGTTAGGATTCCATGCTTGTCTTTTTTCTGGCTGCTAAATAAAAGCAAATATGCTTGAATTTCTTTTTCTTACTAACGTTGAACTTTGAAAAAAAGCCATCGTGGTGACCGAAACGTTAGTATGAAGAAGGACTAAAGACATACAGTAACGGACAAAAGTTTGGAAACAAATATTAACATCATTATGATCTATTTCATATACCTATATTCAAATTGCGAAGGAACAGATAATATAAATATTAAAGTCTCGCTTTGTCTCTCGTACTAATACAAGGTTTATATTATCAATATTCAAATTCTCTGAAAATAAAAACACGTGTTTTTTTTTTAAATACCACAGTTTTTGTAACGATAAAAGTATGGAAACATTTCAGTTTTGCCGTATTTATTCGTTCTGTGATACTCTGATATTGCGTGCGGTAAATATTAACATCAGTGAGAATGGCAAAAGTAGAAGAATTTTCAAAATATTTAAGATACAAAGTAATTAAATTGTAGAAGTGGTGTCAGAAATGTTGACATTTCTCAAAGATTAAAAATGAACAAACGGACGATTTCGAAAATTATTAGTAAATATCAAGAATACGGATCAACAGCAACGCCCTCCAGGGGCGGAAAAAAACCGTTATGTTTTGGATCGCTATATTAAACGTTTGTCCCATGAGATCCTCGAATGCCAGCCACACAGATTTTCAAAAGAATCGGAGAAGAGGATGCCGAGAATATTTCTGTCAGAACAGTGCAGATACTCTTGGTGGATTTTTTTTAAATAAAAATCATATTGCTGGGCTTGAATTTGCTGAAACGCATCTAATTTGTACAGTACAACAATGGAATACAGCCCTATGGAGAGATGAAAGCAAATTGAACTTGTTTGGATCTGACGGTACGGCATATGTGAGACGTCCAATACGAAAAAGATTCGACAATAAGTATCAGTTGCCCACAGCACGGTGGAGGCAACATCATGGTTTGGAGCAGTTTTTCTAGTTCTGGAACGAGTCCCAATTGTTAAAATTGTTGGGAAAATAGATCAAAAACTTCACAAAGATATTCTTAGTGAACACATGCTCCCTTTTGCTGGATAAGAGATGCCTTTACGATGGACATTCCAGCAAGGTAATGACCCCAAGCATACCTCAAAATTTGTAAAGGACTGGTTGAGACTAAAAAATGTTAATCTGCTTAGATGGCCTTCGCAATCCCCGGACCTAAACCCTATAGAACATTTCTGGGAGCATGTTAAAAGATAAATGACAAAAAAAAAACAAAATAGGAATGATTTATTTGATTATGTAAAAGATATTTCGATAAATATTGCAACAGACCTCTGTAAAAAACTGGTGTCTTCTACGAGCAGCAGATGTCAGGCAGTGTTGAAGGATGAAGTAGCAACGGAATCAGACAAGCTGGACTGCGCTCAGCTTCCCTACCAAGTGACGGGGTATGATCAAAATTGTAATTTGATAGGGTCAGTTTATCAAAAATTTCTGTAATTGTATTCTTTTGGCTGAATATTATCCATTTACTTTCCAGCCTGCATACAACCATGTTTCATGTCTGTAATATAATCAATACTGTATTTTTTCCTGTATTCCTCTGTAAGCCTACGGTACTCACGGGTCTTTAGGCCTTCGTGGTGGCTGAAGTATAAAAAAAATCACGCACTGTTCTATAGAATGGTCCCAATGCTATTGGCGAAAACTCTCTGATGTCATCAAAAATTAATGAAGACATTTTTCACGTGAACAACAGTTTCATCCATTAGAAAAAATATATTGACGTGCTCTATACAAACAAGAAGACTCACCTTGTGTATGGTATTGCGAGGATGCTGTGGTGAGTTGATTGAGAGCAACCATGGCGTTGCTCGCCGGTTGACCTCCCAGCTCCAGCATAGTGAGGAGATCGTAGGGACTGCTGCACATGTTGCTCAGCGACCGTACCTCCTTGGCGATCATGCGCAGCTTCTCGAAGTTGATTAGGCCCTCGATTTTGCTGTCGTTGCCCAGGTGGATGAACGTCAAATCTTTCTTTACAACCGGGTAGAATGGAATCTGGAGCAAATAGGAAGCATGATGTAATTTTTAGAATAATCATATCTATTTTGGTCGATAATCTTATGAAGTTTTTAGATGACACAATTGAAGGACACAGGCAACTATAGTCAAAATCACGAAAGATGACTATTACATTGTACTGAAATAATCAATGGTCGTACGTCGATGATAAAATCACGATGTCAAGAACATAATGATAACAAATTCATATTATGATTTTGCGAAGTTAGGTTATTTCACTCATTATTTTTATTTTCATTTTATTTAAAGGGTTTTGAGTGATACCTTAATAATAATTTTAGTGGAGAGTTTTTGTTTTGAAAAAAAACAGTTATGAGTAGAATACCTTAAGACAAGAACACCAAAGACGAAAGTATTATTCGAAAATAACATAACCTGCTTTAACATAACCTAACTATTCATCTTTCAAATATGATCAATCATGCAACATGAAAACATCGCCAATCTTTGTCGGATACATGCAAATTAGCAATAGAGTTTGTTTAGACAATAAAATTCTGTTTGTCTCTGTCTAACATATCAGAAACTTCATTAAATATATTCACAAATCGCTGTCGTTTGTCTTTACTACAGACTAAAGTGATGACGTAATCGTCATCTTTCGTGATTTGGACTATATATGGGAAAATAAAATGAAAATATGATGATTCAAATGCACGAAAATGGAACAGATAATTGCTTGCGGTTTTTCTAAAAAAAAAAATGCACCTAGTGAGAGCACAAAACGAATTCAAAATTCATTCACAGATATGGTAAAATTTTGCATGTAACATATGTACATACTTTGATCTGAATGATTTCCACTGTTTTGTCTGGCAATAAAAACATGTCTGGAACATTGTAACCAAAAATGTATGACGCAAAGGTCAGAAGTGGATCAGAAAACATCCTCGGGATGTACAAGATGAGGATGGGATGGCACTGGCTCACAGAAATGAGGTATTTTTGTTCAAAAATCGACTACACTGAAATCTTAAAAGAAATATCTATGCAAACTTACAATAGGAGGTTGCGTCTGCTCAGCACTGATAAGTTGCCGATACTTGCTCATATTCCTAGAAGGATCCATCAGTTGCTGGAGTTCTGAAAATACCCTCTGATACTTTCCAGGCAGTTTGTCCCAACTCTGCCTTAACCTTGACACAGCACCATGCCCAAGTCCACTAATTATTGCAAACATCGAGTTGAAGTTCTTGCATTCCTTACATTGTCCTGAGAAAAAAGTGAATTATGTAGATTGATAAAGCATTTCCACGCAGCCATGCTTCTTACGCTCGTAATAAAATGCAACAGCAACAATTGCTATCATATGAAAATGTCTTACTATGATGGAAATTTCTAAAAGTTTTTTAAGGAATCAACATTATTTGACAACTGCGCATTGGATACTGATAATATACTTACTTGCAACTTTGACGAACTGCTTAATAATCTTCATCCTCCTCACGGGATTATGTTCAGAACATACCTCGCTGACAACCCAAAACATTTCCTTATTAACTAACGCCGCAAACTGGTCGAGCATCGGCGTGCCATACTTTGACTTTAATTCGAAGAGATCATCTATATATTCCGTTGGCTCAATTTGCCTGAAAATGAATTAATAGTTTTAAGCACAAATGTACAGTGTAACTGATTTCATCAAACATCTCGAATTAATCAAGTGGCGGTATTGACTGTAGAGATTTGTCAATGAGTGTTAATAATTTCAAGAACACGCCTATTGAGCTAACAGCTGTTCGGCAAGTGACATCTTTGTGTGAAGTCTGTTGTAATAAATTTGTAAACTTGGACTTTGCTGCCATAGTGAAAAACACCTTAATTCGTTTATGGTTAACTTTATTCTGTTTAATCATTGTTGCTAGGTATTGCATGGTAGTTGTTTCGCTTACCGCAGCATTATCTGCACTACTTGGAATTTGTTTACAGTTTCTAGTAACGTTATTAATACAGTGTGTTCGTGCCATACTGCACTGTCCTATTGGCAAAAATTAATCTGGTGAAACTGTGAACTGTATTGACAATTATTTACAAAATTTATTTTTATATATATTATATATATTCATATATATATATATATATATATATACCTGTATTTGATCGTGAGGTCCCTGTGAGGTCTTAAGTCACCTGATTCACGAGCCCGTTGTACTACATTAACAAAGGCACGAGGGGTTGGTTGCACTCGATTGGGAACCGATCCGCATAAACATGTGCCATTTTTTATTTCGTTTGAGCCACGCAACAGATACCACCATTCACTGACACTGATTGTATACAAATGAATGAGATACTTGTAAAAACATCGTTCCAAATTCTTTCGCTTTTTTGTTTCCGATGCGATGAACCGATACGGCGGATTATATCCGTTGTCGCCAAACACGACCACATAATATTGTTATTGAGACAGGCGGTACTCAAACTTCCAAAGGGCTATAACTTTGTTACTTTAATTTTACCAGGAAAATGGTAAAGGAAAAAAACATTTCTTTTGATCAGATCTACTCACTGTTAAAATAAATGACTCAACTTCGAAGTCACCCTGTATATATTTACATACTGGGGAAATTGACAAAATATACGAAGTACACATAGAGAAACGCAATAAAACACACAAAATACGACACTGGACACTCTTTCCTTTTGATACCATTATAGGATATCACTTGATGATATTAGAGTATTTTGAATGCCATTAGAAAAATAATCAGCTTGTAGTCTCGCTTTGCCGTGATGAAGTAATGTGAAAAATGGTATATTTTTGTGACACAAGCAATCTTATCAGATTATTAGATGGTGAAAATCAGTTATATTGTTCTCGATTTTCGAATCGCTAGTAAAAACGAGTTTGATGAAAGCCATACTAAAAATATTTTTGATATTGCGGATGTGTTCATCGCTAATATTTATTAAATAAATGATTCTAATCACTTACCTAAAAATACTGAAATCCTGCAGTGTTAGCTGTATAGCCACCTCCACTGCATTCAACTGCAAGAAATGCACAGCGCTCTCCCGTACTAATTCGGGAGCTAGCTCATCAGGTACTAGAGTTTCCGTCACACCATTCGTTTTCAAATAATACCTACAAAAAAAATCTATCAAAACAGTATACTTGGAAAGAACACAGGATATCATCACAGAAAAGTCAGATGATTAACATTCAGCTACATATGCGATCGTAGTGTGTTTTTCTAGAACATGGTTGTTACAAAACATAGGAGAACATTTGGCTATTTTGTGCTATCTAGTGAATATTTATTTCCAATGTCAATGCCAAAGCTACACTACAATAATGACCCTAATCTAGATATTTGTGACACCTTCATAGCATCGTTCATTGATTTAAAAGTGAAGGTGGGAAGACGTTATTGACTTGTCAAGAATCGCGTAATCTTCACGTAAAAGTACGTCGGCAGACGCACATACAGGGTCATTCACAAGTCGTGACCAAAAATGAAACATCATGCACAGGACCACATTGACCACATTTTAAGGTGGGGGAGGGGATGTCTTCTATGTAACGTTTTTTCCTCGAGGGTTTCATTAAAAAGAAGTTCAAAAATAAAAATACATTTTTTTAATATCTTCAAAACTGTCAGCGTTAAAATTTGGTATGTGGATTTTCCTAAGAATTATCCACATTCAAAAGTTTTTACTTTAAATTAACGTGCACCAGTGGCGGAGATACAGGGGAATAGTGGCATTATTTCCAAATAAAAATAGTACGCCACTGTTTTTTTTTCCGAAATGCGCAATTTTTCGAATTTTACCTTTAATTTGCTACAAATAATTACTCTTGTGTTTTTTCCAATAGTGAACTGTTTTCATAAAAATAAAAATTAGATCATATATAAAGAACCGAGATACAATTAGTTTAAAAAAACAATAGGAGGCTTAGATACCAACTTGACGTTTCTTGGGAAATAGTTTGTCAAAGTTATGTGTTATACGGTTGTTATTGTTACTTCTACTATTTTTTTTTGTCAAGTCAAAAGTTTCTTTTTCCATTTTTGAGTGTCGTGAAATGGAATTCAGGAATATACGCCGATATTATTTTTGTGTACGAGTTCTGTAATGGAAATGCTTTAGCAGCTTCTCGGGAGTATCAACCTAGATTTCCTAACAGACGCCAAACTACCCCAAAGGTTTTTATCAAATATCTTGTAATAATATTCATTTATAAAGTAAAAAATAATATATTTCCATCAAGTCTAACTAATTTAACATCATCAAATGTCGACCATCATTTACATAATACCAGAAATAAAGATGACTTCCATTTAATGACCAAAACGTATAACATATGCTACAAATCTGTATTCCATCAAGGGTTGATTGAATATAATAAATTATACACAGAGATAAAAGACCAGAAAAGTTTGACAAAATTTAAAGTAAAATTGAGAAATCCTTGTCAAATCTACAATTATAGGTTGCCCAGCATTTATATCATACATCATATGGCTTGAATTTACTAGTTCTAAGTTGTTTACAATTATTCTGTTTATGTAGCCAAATGTGCTAAATAAATCTTTCTACTACTGCTACTACTACTACATTTTCTAGAAATATCTGGTGCGGCATTTTCAATGTTCAACTGTTTATGCATGTATTGCCCCAACGTTTAAATGCAAACTCATACTTAGCTTTTCTAGAGAATTGCATAGAAAATGTGTAAGACGATGTTCCGCTAGCAACAAGAGTACGAATGTGGTATCAGCACGACGGTGCTCCACCGCATGTTCGCCGTGACATAACCGCATGGTTAAATAATTATTTTAGACAACGATCGATTAGCAGAAACGGACCCGTACATTGGCCTGCGAGGTCTCCTGATCAGAAATCCCTGGACTTCTTCTTGTGGGGCGCTTTTGAACAAATAGTGTATGCTGAACAAATTAATACTGTTGATTAGTTACAAGAAAGAATAGATAACGCGTTTCATCAAATTCAAGCAACAACAAATTTTGCGGAAATACATTTTTTTTTAATTAAAAAGATGCTCACTGGTATCAATCAGAATGGTGGTCTTTTTGAACATTTATTGAAATAAACTAATCTGTTACTCTAGGAGAAAACACAAGGGTATAATTACTTGTAGCAAATTGGAGGCAACATTCGAAAAATTGCGCGTTTCGAAAAAAAAACATTAAGCAACCTGTCATGACAGTGCTGTCAAATTATAACGGTTCATTTTAGTCGTCATAAGTATTCTTTTTTCCTATACATTGGTTATTTGCTGTCGCTGTCTAAAATAACATAAAGAAAGACTTAACAATTCGTTATTTTTGTTGCACTACAAACTCTCTTATGAGTAATTGTATCATATTTCATGCTGACGCAAAAGTCTAAGCGTCTGTTCGTCCAGTTGTCTACAGAAAAATTTAGATAATCATTCATGTTTGTCAAGCCGCTAAATGAAACCAAATATGTTTAAATCACTATTTACTGTCTAGGTGGTAGACGAAAGCATCATGAGCGCTTGATATGACGCTAGTAAGTTGCCACATACATAAACTCCTACGGTTCAATATATTTCTCGCGTAACGCGTGTTTAAATGATAGCTCGTGAGCACACGTGACGTGACAATAATGTGTTTCCACCATTATGGGTATAGGATATAGAACAAAACCTGAACTCACCTACTACTCAACCCAATACGTTCGGCCAGGTTTTGCAGCTGATCGGGCAGCCGTCTCTGCTTTATCGTTTGGGTATCGGTCACAGAGACCTCGCACAAAGAGAAGTTTTGGCTGGGGTCCGAGATACCGAACTCTTGCAATGCCAACATTACCACCTCGTGAGCGGTCGTCTCTTTGTGCACTAGAAGGTACTTGTAGCTCTGATCTGGTTTATACACCTACAAAATAGTCCATAAGTATTATTTTATTTGGTAAGAAACCATTGAACATAGACGTAACAGTTGTACGGAAACATTTTATAGTAGTCTTAATAATGAAATTCTCATAGCTAGCTGAAAAGCCGTACATTATAGTGCGGCATAATGAGTTTTTTTACAACCCAGTTTGTTGTTAAGTTTGACACGTCGTACATCTTCTACTTGAACAGACGGAGCATTAAATTTGCTACGAAATCGTAAGAAGCTCCACTAGAAGTATCCACGTTTGTTCAACAATTTATAGCGTGTAGACTTGTATAAGGTGTTACAGAAAGTTGGCAGGAAAATTTAAGGGGTTACTTGACGTAATACAGGGTGTTTCAGAACTACGGGATCAAACTTCTTGGGGTTATTCAGTGTAGCAGTAGAAAACATTTGATTATAGGGACCCCCTAAGACGCGTTAAAATTTAGAAAGACGATGAATTGCCTAAATAGGATTTAATCCACTTAATTTCTGCCTTTTGTACATGATATCATCACAACAATTGTTCAAAATGTCTTCCTCCAACCTGAATACACCGATTTAAACGTCTCACATGATTCCGGCGGACTTGACTAAAAATTTGACACTTGTTTTGAGTGATTTCAAATGCTGCTGTAATTCGTCCAATTAAGTCTTGCTCTGTTTCTATTGGAGTTTCGTAAACCAAAGACTTTACATGTCCCCATATGAAAAAATCTAGCGACGTTAAATCGGGTAACCTAGGAGGCTCCACTGCTCCACCTCTGGCAATCCAACGGTGCCCAAATCGCTTAGCCAAATACTCACGTACTTGTACAGCAAAGTGAGCCGGCGCTCCATCATGCTGAAACCACTTTTGCTGTCGAACGTTCAATGTAACATTTTCAAGGAGTTCTGGAAGAACTTCCTCCAAGAAACGCCGGTAAATAGGTCCTGTTAACCGTTCCGGTAGAAGGTATGACCCAATCAAATAATCATAAACAATGCCTGCCCATGCGTTGACAGACCAACGTTGCTGATGTTTTCTAGAAAAAATTTCACGGGGATTTTCTTTGCCCCAAACGTGGCTATTCCTACTATTAAAAATACCGTCTCTTGTGAAAGAGGCTTCATCGGTCCATAAAACGTAGCGTAAAAAATTTGGTTGTGCAGCGATTTGATGGAGAAGCCATTGAGGAAATTGAACTCTAGGATGATAATCGGCTGAAGTCAATCCTTGAACTTTCTGGAAGTGGTAAGGATAAAGTTGTTGCTCGTGTAGCACCCGCCAGACGGAAGCGTTACTCGCATTCATATCCTCAGCAATGTGACGTGTGCTACTTGATGGTTCGTCGGCACCTCGCTGAAGGACTTCTTCTTCAAATTCGACCGTTCTTACGGTTCGAGCAACACCAGTATCATGAATGTTGATTTTAAACATGCCTGCCTCGGAAAGCCGCCGATGAATAGCAATAAACTTTTTGTATCCCGGATGTTGTCGTTCGGGATAACGTTCTTGATACAACCGCGCTGCTGCTCGTGCATTGCAGCTTGTTGCTCCGTATGCCAAATGCATATCCGCGAATTCTTGATTGGTAAAGTTTTCCATTAGCAACAATTAATTTTTGTTAAATTCTTGCAAACTTCACAAATACGAAAGCACGACTAAGGCGATATGGAATGCACCTACAAAAAAAAATCTCTGTTATGGTTTTTAAAGATAACAACACACAAGCGCCGGATATGGGTCCCTATACCCAAATGTTTTCTACTGTTACACTGAATAACCCCTACAAGTTTGATCCCATAGTTCTGAAACACCCTGTATATGAAAAAAGATCTCAATAAACAGGGATCCGGAAATTCTATATAGGTTGATTAAACTTGATGTTTAGGCAATACTTGTATGCCACTGATTTTCTCAAAGCCATTTTGATGCCTCTTGGAAAATGTCCCTTGGAGTTTTTCGTTATGTTCATTCAAAAGAGTCGATTATTGTTATTAACGTTTTTGAAAAGTATGAGGGAACTGCCTAAAACGGAGAAGTTTGAACACCCCTAAATTATGGATACGAAGCAGAAGAATCTATATGCTGTAATACTGAAAAAACAAAATTATTTGAGTATTATGGACGTACGAGTATAGTAATGAAAAAGTAAATAGACACCAAGTAACTATTATTATTTTAAAGACATGTATTTGACAACTGGTTTTGCTGAGAAACCATGCAATGGCTATTTGAAATGAAACTTACCTTTAATACGTGTTCAGGGTAATCAGAACATCGGTTGTATTCATCCATGCAGATTGACATCAAGTCAGGATTACTTTGAGATTGATAGAGATTCGATCCTAAATTGGATGGCGGATTGAAGCTGTCCACCTGATCTTGGCTCAGCCCGACGCTGAAAATATCACTAATTTAGAATTAGAAAACACTTGAAACATGAAAGGAACTGAAAAATCATAACACAATTAACATGAAAAAAAAAAAATAACAAAAACACACTAGTTCCTCAGAGGGAGAATTTCATTACAGTGGAAAATGCAAATGAGAAAAGTAAGGCTATGAAAGATGTTAAAATTAAGTTATTTTCGATGATGTTTCCAGATCAACAAAGTTTTAGCGGATTTACTGTTTTTGTTTGTTCCTTATCTACTAAACATCATACCTAACTTATGGAAATTTCACAAAAATGGTTAAACATTTATAACAAAATGTAACATCTAAAGTAGTTGGATTCTTTGGTGTTTTAAGATATCCTTTCTGTTCCAATTTGGCTCAAATTTGCCTAAGTTTATTTGGAGAGAAAATAACTAATGGGTTGAGGTGTACCAACCTCCGTTAGACTGACACTCTTATTTTGGTATTTTATACAACCTCACATACTCTAAGCGCTCTCTTAATTGTATTTTTCTCCGTATATAAACAGGCTAGAAGCTCAAGCGGCCGTTGTACGAGCGTGCGACATCAACACAAAACATTAACTTCCATAAGACACTAAGGCCGCCCTTATCAAAATCTACACTCACTTGATGATATTCTTCGGCAGGATATTCATCTTCATTAGCGCTTTTTGCAGTCTCCTCTTCGGCCCGAGAGTCATGAAGCTCTGCTTCTTCCCCTCCTTGGCCGGGCTGTTGATGGTGACAGGCTGTGCCGCAGGCGGTTCCGTGCTCAGGATGATGTTGCCGTCTACACTTGATAGCCTGGCTCTAGGATCAGCAGGGAGTTTCGGAAGATCTGACACCTTGCGACTCCTCGGTCGAGGGGAGTTGCCGGGAGTGTTTAGCATTTCTTTGAAGTGCAGCAAGTTGAACTTCACGGTTATGCTTAGGTGGGTTGACCCTGGAAGTTTATTTTACAAATTATTCAGATGTTCTCAATGAGAATATCGAAGGCATGTCCATCATACTCCGTTAGAAAACATTTTCCTAGCAGATTTTATTTCATCCTTTGTGGCAAAAAGGACAAATAATTATATCGTTCACCCGAAAATGGAATTATTCTATTTAAATTTTTTAATGCTCGCCTTTTTTTGGCAATGTATATGGCACACAAGATCTAGAAAACATCTCAGTTTCATTTCATGTTCTCGATTACAATATTTGCAGTAAACACAAATTTTGTATTTCTTTTTTAATTTTCTGACTATATCCAAAACTAAGAATTATCAAGAAATTGTAAAACATAACAAAGATTATGAATGGTGTGAAACTATTTTATTTTTTGCTCACTCTGGTGGCAACTAACAAAAAAAGTAATCAGAATGCTTTTTCCTTGACTTCCTATTTTTCACACCTACCTCTGAGAATTTCCAAAGCTCTGGCCAAGGACATATGCTCAAAACTCTGTCCATTCACTTCGATTATCTGGTCGCCCCTTTTCAGTCCAACTTCTTCAGCTTTTGACTTCTTATCAACTTTGTCAATAAAGATACCAAAATTCCTTTCGAAACCACCCCTAATTTGGAAATTCAGCGGCTCCTCCCTATTTGGCCTGGCTAGCACAACGTTCCTGAAATGATACGAAAACTTTAATAACCTCACAATCTGAAATGAAATATTTTATTTTATGATTGCGCTAGTGAAAAGACGTTCATCCTCTAACTTCTGGCACTGATTAACGTCTACAAGAAGGTGCTTTATTTGGGCGTTCACGCGGAATTTTCATTGTAACATCCATGTTGAAGAGCGGGATCGCAGTAATTCCCTTGGAAGTAATAAAATCAGATTCAATCTTCAATCTTCTGTTTATTGAATATAAAAAGTCAGTGACACGCCAATGTCTCCTATTAAAAACAAAATAAAATCTGTATTCAATTATGAGCGGACTTCAACTATTGATTTTTTTTAGTCGGACTCACGGTTTTCACCTAAAAAAATAAAAGCTATTTCCATGCATGTTGATAATGCCATATTAACGATATTGTTGTAATCATGCAGAAAAACGGTTTTTTATTTTTTAAGCGAAAACCGTGTATCGGATTGAAGAAATCAGGTGCTTAAAAATCATTGGGAATTATTAGAATAATTTTTATTTTAAGAAAATTCGGTGGCGCACCTGTCTGCCAAACTAGGCAGTTGTGTCTTAAAGTCAAGGCAGGACATACATTCCTATGAAGTGTTCCTCTTAAATTGAATCAAAAAATCACCCCCTCAAGTAATGTATAGCTGTAAGCATAATTGCTTGGCGGTGCCACGGTACGAACGCTTATTTTCGCACAGGCAAGACCTGAACTGGGTATCTTCTGACTGAATGTCAGTCAATGCTTTTTGTAGTTAACATTAAACAGAGAATCAAGAAAATTCTAACCTTAATCTTGCTTTCGCAGCACATGCAATGTTCAGCAAACGTTGTTGTCCTTGCATACTGGAATTTTCCAGGCCTTGTTCGAACGTCTCCAGAAATTCTATCATGTCTGGATCGGTTTCGAAATCCGTAAAATGATTGTTCACCCATAGCAGAACCACCCTTGTCACCCTATCCCTTACTTCTTCATTTTTAAACCTGAAAGAAAATATAAAGCCTTCTTTTAAACATCAATCGTAGTCTGAATTATTTATCGATGGAATGTGAATATATATGAGTATGAGCATGAACAAATATCGTATTTGGTTATATGGATAAAATAACTTTCAATTGTATAGTTGCAAAATATCAATGTCCACTAACCATTCCAAAAGTTTACTAGCCACAAACAGTGGACTCTGTATAAAAACCCTGTGCGTCAACAAGAAATCTTCTACGTAAGTAGGATCGATAAGAGAATTCTCCTGAATCAATTGTAACATGAGTTGTTCAGGTGTCGCTCTGATCACCACATGATCTCGCCGATTACAGCTCGGTTCTGCGGAACCCCTCAGTTCTGTCACCATCACCAATTTACCATCGCTTTCGTGCCGTCGCGTGTTTTCTTCACCTTGATGCAATATCCTAAAACAGGATATTTAGTGCTTAGTAGCATATGGTCTTTGTAGGATTAAAAAAATGCATTTGATACACTCAACTATCCTGATCTATCTGAGGGTTATAGAGAGAGTGGGGCTTATAGGAACACCAAATCCTTTTAAACCGCGTACCAACTTAAAACATACAGTTAAAACATCATGAAATAGGGTGTTTCCCAAGGAACGGTATTGGATCCTCTTCTATTTAAGCTATATCTAAAGGTTATTCAAAATTAATAGTATTGGAAAAATTATATGTTTTGCAGATTTTGTATAAAACCGAGGATTGAAACACTTTGACACAAACGAAAATGCTGAAAATGACTTGCTATAAGTTATGAAATCAATTTTTCACAAACCTAGACTTTATTAAATACATGAACCATGAAATAGCTTTATTTTATTCTAACATCATTATTCTCAGATCTCAAAAAGAAATATATTGGAAAACGTAAAATTAGGAAAACATTTGAAACGGAAATTGAAGGAGGTGATTTTTATTGCTAAGGGACTGGTTATACACAACTATATCAAAAATTGATTGTTTTTATACAGCGTGATTCACGATTCGTGACCAAGTATGAAACATCATGCGCATTTTAAGGGGGGTCTTCTATGTAACATCTTTTCCTCAAGGGCTTCATTAAAAAGATACGGGGTGTTGAAATTTTTAATATCTTCAAAACCGTCACATGGAATGAACTAAAATTTGGTATGTAAGTATTGTCCACAATTTAAAAGTCTTTACTTAAAATTAATGTGCACCAGTGGCGGAGATACAGGAGATTAGTGACATTATTTTTCCAAATAAAAATAGTACGCGCAATTTTTAGAATTTTATCTTCAATTTGTTACAAATAATTTTTCGTGTTTTTTTCCTATAGTGCACTGTTTTCGTAAAAATGAAAATAAAACAAATTAGATCATTCATGAAGAGCCCAGATACAATTAGTTTCCAAATAAAATAGGAGACCTTGACACCAACTTGACGTTTCTTGAGAAATAGTTTGTCAAAGTTATGTGTTATACGGTTGTTATCATTACTACTGCCTCTTTTCTCAAAAGTCATAAAATCAAGCCAGAACAGATTTTGCGGAAATACTTTTTTCTTTATTAAAAAGATGCCGCACTTGTATCCGTCAGAATGTTGGTCTGTGTGAATATTTATTGGAAGAAAGATTTGATTATTTAATTTGTTTTTTATTTAGTTTCACGAAAACAATGCACCCTAGGAAAAAAACGCGAGAACGAGTTGAAGGCGAAATTTAAAGAATTGCGCGATTTGAAAAAAACTGTGGCGTACTATTTTTATTTGGAAAAATAATGCCACTAATGCCTATCCTGGTGCACGCTAATTTTGAATGTGGACAATACTTAGGTAAATCCACATACCAAATTTTAGTTCATTCCAGTTGTACGGTTCAGAAGTTATAAAAAAAAAATAGAAGACCCCTTGAAATGTGGTCCAATGTATGATGTTTCAATTTTGGTCATGACGTGTGTAGCTATACAAATTATTTTGTCCTTATTAAGGTTTAAATATCATTTGTATTTCAATATTCCGTTTATTTACCTTAGCGTCTTGAGGAAAACTAAGAAAAAAACGTATTCGAAATTCATACGTTGAAAAACTCATTAAAATTCTCTGTATTTCTAGCCATAGGATTTGATTTTAAATCCGATACCGATAGATCGTGACTTAAAAATTGTATGGCAGTAGATCATCATTAGAAAATAGTCTTATTATAAGGGCATAGAAAATCGTACTAGAGCTTTACATTACAGATTTCGCGTAAAAAAATGCGTCATTACTTTGGGGAAACAAGTTTAACTACTTCTTACGCATCCTCTTGGAGGCAAAGCTTGACAACCCGTCAAAATACAGTGACTAATAAAGGTTAAAATAAACCTCATTTACCTATAGTAATCTGACTGTGTAATGCATACAAACTGGCAGTCGTCACACTTCGTGTACATGACTCCTTTATGGTAAAGTTTGTCCATGGTGGGGAGAATACCAAAAGCGTCACCCATATAGAGCGTTTGAGGTGGTTCATCTGGTATGATAATTTCTACTGAACCATTCACCAAGACGGACCACGAGTCGAGTTCTTCACCATCGTTCATCACCATTGTACCAGCCTAAAAGTTTCACGGGATATTATATTTTTTCGGAAATATTTCACAAAGTGCTATTGTATTTTTAGTCCTTCTATCTTATTAAGGCTTCCTAGTAAGATACTACTATATATTACTATGTAGAAGAGATAGCACGTATTCCATCACAACTTATTTGTTTCTAAAAAGTTTTGGGAATACGAAAGATAATGAGGTTAATCGACTAAACCATTTTGTCAAGAAACCTTTGAAAAAGAAAGTTAATTTTATTCTTACAAAAAAATTTTTTTCTGTATAAACCTCTCCTCATTCGTATTTCAATATTTCTTTTTTATTGTGTTGAAACTTTGGTTTATACACCTACATATATGAAAGGATTGGGATGCCTTCATGTGCTATTTTGGATATGCGAGTACTTTGGACTAAACAAATGTTTACCTCTTGAAAAATGAGGCAATTCCAATTGCTAAATTATAAATAGTATAAATACTATCGACGAAATTAAGAGTACGTAATACAGTATTAGTAAACATATGGAGGTAAAGATAGTGTCTTCTATAACAGAGTTGATATTCTTAATTTTTATACCTTTTCAACTACGGCGAATACCATCACAGAACACAATGCCCTTCTAACAGCCAGAGTCATATTTGTGAACGCTTTCAGGTGTTGAGTAAATTCAAGCAGCGTTTCAATATCATCCTCGGTCCGTTCAGATGGTTCCTTTTCCAAGCAGTCTCTTACCCGATCCCTTACAGTCAAACTCTGAAAATGAAAAAAAAATAATTGTTTGATCTCAGTAGAGGTTATTTTATAAATAATTATATATGAATCCAAATCAAATCCAGTCCAGTTTGCAGTAACAAAATATAGGGATGTGTCCGATATGCAAAAGATCAACAATAGAATAGGCATCTCCTATTAATCAAATAATATTAAATCTAAATCCAACCAAAAATCACGGTATGTTATATTTATTATCCTTGAAGGTAGTATTGTTCCAAATTATTTGTATATCAATGCAGAGCAATGAAATGCCTTGTGCTGTATAAGAAAAACAGCGGCAATATTTCTCTCTAGGATTGAAAGTACGTTCTAAAATCATAAGTCGTATAAACATGCATGAAAATTGAGAAAAAATATTCCTCCGGATAGAAGTAAAATTAAAATACGTGAATTTGCAACTTTTTTTTGTTCAAACAACAGCAGTGACGTAGAGACTGCAATTTTTGTCCATTAAAGGTTCTATTGTATTATTAAATCAGGTATTTAATTTTAGATGAATTCTCCCTCTTGAAAAATACGTTGAAGTTAGTTGTTCATCTTCCGTCTTCAATCAGTCCAATACAAACAACGGAAAATTAACATGATGACCTATGTCTCGAAGCGTTTATGTTATTTTTTGACGTTCTTTTGCTCCAAAATTACTCCAACTGTTTTTTATTCACTATTTCTAATAATGATGTGTTTGGACACTCTAGACTGCTGTGTATCCATTTCACTTTTACCACATTCATTCAAACGCTAAGTAATATAGATTTACCGATAAAGAGATTTTGAATTTCACAGTAACACATTCTTTCTATTCCTTTCTCTTGGCATGATTTTTGTGCCGCAAAGTGCTCCACATGCAATAGAATACGCATAAAATTAGCGACATAATTATAGTCTTCTGTGGAGTGGTTTTAGACATGTGGTTAATTACATGTAAATGTATAAACACAAGCACACTTCTACTTTTGATTTCACTAAGATTTCAAGCATTCTCAATCACACTGCATACTGAGTGTTAAAAAAATAAATGCACAGTCTTTGGTAGTGCTTGAAACCGGCACAACGATCTTCCAGCAGAGATATTTGCAAACTTAAGAGGAAATTCAGCACCGAGAGGAGCATATTTATGTGCTCTGGTAGTCAAGCAACCCTGAAGGCAGTGGTATCCCCGAGGACAAGGTCACCCTTAGTTTAGGAATGTACTACTGCTCTACAGAGTTTAGCCCGATCTAAAGTGACCCTATTTTGAGTCCCAGGATACAGCGGAGTGCCGGGCAATGAGAAAGCTAATCTCCTGGCTAAGCTAGGGGCCAAAAGCACTTTCATCGGTCCCGAGCCTAGGCAGAATATAAGCAGGATCCAGGGCTCTAAATGAATGAATGCATAAGGACCTAGAAAAAGCGTGGCGAAAGAGAGATGACTGCAGACTGGCTACTGGACAGGAGTAGAAGATCGCTCAACCATTTGGTGAGGGTTCTCACCGGCCACTGCAGATTAAACACTTATGCCATTTAAGGGTGAAAAGAGACCCAACATGCTCCTTGTGATGGGAGGAGGATGAAACAGCAGTCCACTTTCTGGGAGATTGCCCAGTATATTGCATTAAGGACTGAGATATTCGGAGCTAGGGACTTTATTGGTGAAGTTGCTTACTCATCAGAATGGTCGGACATCCTGACCTTTATTAGTACGTCAGGAAGGTTCGACAGTCTAGTGAATTAACATGTGGAGCAGAGTGTTGGTACACTCGGTCAAACGTGGTCTACTTGCCTGGATTCTCCTCCCCACCGCTACTACTACTACTACTGCTACTTGGTAACAGCATTTTTCCAGTCTAGTAGAAAATACTTTTTGGATGTAGAATAGATTAGTATGAACTATAAAATTGTAATGAAACGAAAGTCAAAAATAGATTAGAAAAACATGTAGGGTGTTTATGAAAAGAATAGGATAAGAGAGAATGTTGTGTTAATGCTTTTTTACATGCGGTTTACAGAATTCCTAAACAACATAAACATTGGAAAATTTAAAATCTCATAAAAAGTAGATATTTTTTTCAACAGAATCGTTATTTTGATTTGTTGTTGATGTGCCCAGTGCCTGACCATTCATTTATTGTATTTTCCATACAAAACAGTGATTTATTATCTACAATATATGTCAGATTGAACTGGAATCAAAAGCAAGCTACATAAAAATATCTAGAACTTATGAGATCTCCCACGATCAGGTATTAGCATAGTCCATAAATTAATTTTAATCTTTATATTGGAAGCCGCATAGTGAACCTGACATTGATCATTCAATTTCTACCTCTTTGAATGGCGGAGAAACACGCATTTTCTCATGTTCTCATACTTCTTTGATATCATAATTTATTTTAATTACTGCATTAATCCTTCACTTGATATAACATTAATCTATACCAACGGTTTATAAGAAGCTGTGGATGCAGCTCAGATACTCGAAACTTCGATGACCAACTGATAAATGATTTTTGTAGGCATTTTCGTAAAGTTTTCAAGTGTAAGCGCAAGTTTGCCTTTCGATTAATGAGCTCCTCCATAGATGAGTAGAGTTTTTTCACTAAGGTAAGATCAGAATAAATGCTGTTATGTTGCCTTGGGAATTCTTTGAAAACATGTTCCTTTGATAACCTCCAATAAATTATTGTCCAGTCGATCGTGGGTTGAAACAAAATTGTGTATTTACAAAAAAATACGAAACCGACCAGCTTGAAAAGGGGTTACGACAGGAACATTAGATTTCGCTTGGAAAACAAGGCGACGCATTTTTAACATGGTAGCGATATCTATCATGGAGTGAGTAAAAGCCTAGTTAAAAGTAACTGCATTTGGGTAAGTGCGTTATCATAACGATTAGGCACTCTTCGCGCTCTACCTCGGCCACAGCGGATTGTATGGAATATCGCATATACCAAAATTGAAGAGACCTTTATGCTTTACAACTTTTTCATAAATTCCAGTTGGCGTTTAAAGTATAGGAAATAAGATATTCCCAAAAACTCGTTTTTGTGGCATTTGACCTTGAAAAACTCTATATGCCGGGATTATATGACACTTTCGAGACCAATTATGGAGCACCAAAAAAAAGGTACATACGGAGATAATCAAATTTGTCCGACGGGTTGAGTTCAATGTGTACGAGAGGGAAGCGCGAGAAGTGTGCATAAATAAATATGTTAGAAAGAGATAGAAGCCGAATGGATAGCGAAGCTCATCACCACGTTACCTAGCAACGCTGAAGCAGCAATCTGCCGCGTTGCCAATAAATTCCTTGAATTAAGATGCATCTTGAAAACATGCGTTAGTTTATTCTCTGCGCCTAAATAATGGTTTTATTTTGGCCATACAATTTTTTAATTATGAATTGTGTCGAATCTGTTGAGGATCGTTTCCGAATCGGTCCTAATGGCGCTTCATTTTCGGTCAAAATGGAAGGTCAGGATCGCAACAAATTCTGCAACAATACATCACTGGTTTGCATGTCAAAACACCGCATCTGGTACATTCCAAGGCAAGGCGCTCATAGGGGAGTGCCGTCCGGCTTCGAATTGTTTTTCATCTACGTAGCCGCAAACAGTGATAATTTGTATTTGTATGGTTCGCTGTCTCAAAATGTAACAATAATTGAGGATGTGTTGAATTTATCATCATCGGTGGAAATCACTGTACGCTCAAAAGAAAATCATTATTTGGGCGTAGAGAAGAAACTAACGTCTACTAGGTTCAAGCTCCAGCTTTGTATGGTTGCGTGGGTCCTTCGTGGGTTGCAAGTGTGCCTTTGGCGATTGTCGAAGGGCAGGCACCTTGATTCCGGGAGTCGCTTGACAGCGCATCATTTACAACTGATAATTTCAACATGAACCATGATTTAAGTAACTAATGTTAACATATTGCGACGACCTTCTGCGTCAGTGTTGTTAGGCAATGTGATGCTGAGCTTCGCTGGTCAGCCGGCTTCTATCTCTAACATATATACAACATACATACGTTATATAATTCCCAAGAATATTTAGAGAAACGGGTTACTTACATCCATGCTCTCAGCCAGGTCGTCCTCTTCGTCACTGTCAACGATACTCTCCACCAATCCGGTGAGGTCCAGCTCGTCGCCGTCATTCTCCGAGTGGGTGGATGCCATCGTGTCGCTTCCGCTGTACGCAGAGGAAGTGTCCGAGGAATGAGAGCCCCGCCCCAGGCACTTGTGGGCGGCGTTCGAGCCACCCACGGAGGTTGCGCCCGAGAATGGAGGTCGGGGCACCACGCCGGATTGAGGTACGCCTGTTTGGCCGTACTGGAACCAAATGTAACGTTAGTTTCATATTGCACTTACATCAGAAGACAACAATTTTTTGGCTTTTGGTCACACAAACCATTAGCAATGAGTCTTAACAAAATTATTAATGTGAAAAGTGCGAATTATTGTTCTTTTTTAAATACATGTTTCAAAAAATATTGATTTTTAATACAAATAAGGCGTGCATACTAACGAAGCTATTTTTTAAAAATGGTGTCAAGTAAGTTGACTCTGAACTTCCCACGCAACGCCCTTATCAATACATAGGGGAATATGTTCAGCACAAACTAGACCATTTGAAAAAAAGTCAGTCAAATAGGTTCATACAGTTAGTCCATAGTCATTCTTTCCCTGTCCTACCGATAGTGCATCTGGAAACGTCGCCTCTTGCCGATACTTAACTCGGGCAGTCGTGGCGCCGTGGTAGCATAGAAAACACTGTGCTGTTGCGCGGCAGAAATACGTGTGATTCTCTATCCGAACAGCCATCACGATCGGCGCACGATGCCAGCACCAGCCGCGGCGGATAGGTACCCGAGCCGTCTACCAAGAATATTTTTCAGGGCTAATTTACAGAGAAATCTATGATATGTGGAATATGTCAACAGGTACGTAGAATTACCAATGATGGGAGTGTACCAGCATAAAAAAAATGAGATAAACCTTCCCCACCCCCTATAACCCTCAGCCACAGTGATTTACCTCTGAAATAGTTTCTAAAAATGGTCAGGATCCTCTGAATAGTCAAAAAAACCAAGGTTGTGTGATTTTTACTTTTTTCATATCAGGCCTTTTTCCGCCGCTGGACCGATTTTTGAAAACTACAAAGCTTTTGCGACCTTGGCTATACTTTCTGCCAGTAGGCGTGGGAAGTGAAAATTTAGCTGTTTGTCTTAAGATTCGAAATGGAACGGTTTTTGGAAAATTTTCAAATAAAGCAGTCACCCTTCGATTTTCTAAGGTCGCACGTAAAACTCAACTGGCCGTTTCGGTGATTTATTTAGATGTTTCGCTGGTTGTTGCTAAATAAAACCACATGTGTACAAACAAAAATTTCACATCAAACTTGAAAACAAACACTTCTGTTTCCTTGCCCCGTCTTTTGGGAACAACCCTTATTTATACTTTATGTGAAAAGGACATAGAGAGCGGTCCGCCAAGAACTTCCTGAAAAGCAATCCCAAACTAAACTCGTGAAAATAATGAAAATCCTTTCCCTATAGCTCAACCAATTTTTGTGTGATATAGATCTAAACTACTGTGGTATGGTAAGGTTTAGTTTCAGCCAACAAATAGTTGACTCAAACACAGTTCATAAAAAGTATATAAGAAACGCGTAACATATTGTCAAATATATACGTTTATTTGTTGTACATAAGGTATTCCACTCTACGATAGATATTGAGAAATATTTATTTGATCAGATTGAATATAGAGTATTTTTACTTTAAATCTCATGAATCTATCATAGCTGTGAATAAAGCATGATGGAAGGGTAAATGCAAGAAAGTAATGAGATTACAGGGTTTAGCTAACGCCCTCTACATACTATATTAGAAAATCGGATCGCTTTCTCGGAAACTCCCTATTCTCAATTTTCATGTTAATATCACTTAAGCAGCTTGAGCTATAGAAACATAATGAATTTATTCATTATATTTTGACATCCTTTATCTTATTAACGAGTGAAACATTCTAGTGAGACGTATATGGTTCAATATAATTAAGGGTACAGGGGAAAAAGATGAATTTCACAAATTTGGTGTTTTGTAGTTAGAACCGGCAACATGCTGTCTTAAAGCAGTACAATCCCATGAGGTACCGGAAGCACGCAAAACAAACAATGATTGTAGCTATACCCAATTGAAAACTTGCCGTGCAGGGAAAAAAGATGAATGTCACGTCACGGCCGTTGTATGAAAAAAAGATGAAAGCCCACTGATTGTCACCGAAACTAGTAGCTACGTACTACAACAATTTACCATACACCAATCTGCGACGAAAGAAATAAACGTTAAGTAATCATTTTTCAGTAGTAAACCATTAATTTTGTTATGCTTGTTCTTTTGAATAACGCTTCTTTGGTTCATTTTTTCCTGTCCAAATTAAAAAAATACTTAGAAATTATTCTGTTTGAACTATTGAGGTTAGAAAATCACCTTTTTCTGATGTTCTACGCTCTGTGTAATAAATTTCCTGTTAAGGTAGTTATTATATTAGATCAGATCGTAAAACCTAAGATAGGCATTTTGCATTTCTAACCTCAACATCATAAGAAGAATCTCGAAATACAAAAATAAAAAGGATTCTCCATTAAAAAAATGTTTGCTCTGCTTGCACTTTTGGACTACCTTGTATATCAAAAAACATTTTTTTATTCATAATTCATCTTTTTTTCAATTTTTTATAATAAGAAATTGACCCACCCTGTACAACGAGTATAGGAGTCAAATTCTCTTTTCTCGAAACTTACTTTTTACAGATCTCATAATCTCCTCAAGATAAAAAATATAAATTTTAACATAAGTACTCTCGTAAAGTTTTGGGCGATTGATTAAAAAATAAACAGGTCAGAGAAAGCAAATGATACACTTCGAACTGTTTCAATGTAGTTTAAATACTTGTTAAAAACGACTTACCGCATCATCGAACATGATATTTATGCTACGATGTTGAGTATCCATCAGTGCAGAGTTTTGTACTCTCCTGTTTTCTATGTCGGGATAATCGATCTGAAACAAACGAAACAACAATGAACCTTAGTGCAGCAAAATAGCTTGTATTAAAAAGTAACGATACCAAAAAGTGATATATTTATAAATTTTTTGACAAGCACCTGAAAATTCACATTATAGTAGAAAATAAAGCAGTTGTGCAAACAGTTCAAACGTCTATGGGGCTGTTTGAATGGCTGTGCAAACTGTTGGAGTCAATCGGTCAGGATCGAAATAATTTGTGCAAACAACCCTTGTTTGAGTATTTGTTTGATGCACACTGAGTTTGCGCAAATAGTTCGCACGTGTATGGCGGGCTTTACAGATAATGTTACAGCAGTTTATGAACTGAAGTCAAGAAATTATATTTTGTTTATATTGTGGTATCCGTACACCTACCTACATATTATCAGACCGAAATATCGGAACAATATGCATGTTGACTGGGAATATACCTAGTAATTGCTGTGATACCGCCACTACAATAATGACTAACATATCTAGCACGATATGATAAACATTTACATTTGATCGGATTTCCCTTGATAATCAAAGATAAAATTCATTAGGCAAGCATAAAGTAGGTATGTGTCAAGAAAGTCAATGAGTCAATGTTGTTATTGTTAACAAATAACACGGAAACTCATACTTGGACATTACACGGTAGTCCATCTACCTCAAGCTGATTTGCGATGTTTCAAAACAACCATTTTTGATATAAAACTATATAAATTTATGGAAAACAAGCTTTCAAAACAAACCAATCAACAGGTTTAAAAGAAAAAGTATGGAAACAAGTTACTGCAACATGAATTTCTCAGACTGATTAATACATATCATTGTACAGAGTAATTCAAAAATAAAAGTCCACGAATTACAGGTCAAAATAATGAATGTCATACAAACATTATTTGCGCCCACTTTTAATTGATGTTTTTGTTTTAGTAACATTATCAGAAGATAAATTAATAACAAGCCGTAAAACCGAAAGCATTTGGCAGAAGCACATGCTTTTAAGATTCCAGAGAGCAGCTTTTTTTCTTTCCATTTTGATTTTGTTAAACTTTGTATGTTGAGGACTGGTCGGTACGAACGCTTCTTTGTTCTTAATTAGGTATATAAAATGTGATTAACAGAGCTGGCTTATAGCAGACGTGATACTCCTCTATTTAGATTCTGCCTTCGTAGTTGCTACAGAATAAAAATAAAAAGTAGCTTTTTTCACTTTTCAAACAGCATAATATTCAAAGCGTAGGTGACATCATTAGAAATAGAAAATACGGACCACGAAAATCACACTGTTTATGAGGAAATAGCAGTTTACCTGTGAATCGACAGACAACCTGAAGTTTGGCCAGGACAGTGAGTTTTTCCTTCTCAATCTTAATTTCCTCAGACATTTCCTTCTCAAAGAAACACCAACCACCGATATTCTACAACCAGGAGGAAGTCTCTCCAACTCAAGATTGGTTTTCAGCACGTGTTTTAGCATTTTCACTTAACGACAACTCAAAATGTCATTAATCACGCAAACTTTCTTCACTCACTTACTACGATCGTTTTGTTCTCTAGATTATTTTCACTTATTTTTATCGTACGCACTCCCGACAATTACATCAAAAACTGGATACTTTATTCACTCGTCTTACTATTTTTAACTTATACATTTTGGGATCATCAATCGACATAAATCCAGCTTTTATTCCACGTTTCTGAAAAAATTATAAATCTCAACACAAGATTCTCGTCTCTTGACAACAGTGTGACTGTTTACGTAAACAAACATGAGCATTATTTTCGGATTAATATTCGCGGTGTAGTTATGATATCAATTGTTTTTTCAACTCAGTTACCGATATGGAATAATCAATTTTACACAGTGCTGGAGTATAATGTAATTGGTTAGTAGAAATAATATTTCGTTTTTCGTGTTTTCAATAAATTGAGGTGCCCAAGCAAGAAAATATTTTATGAAATATTAAGCGTACATATTAGCAAAACATCAGTTCATTCAGTCTGTATGATCTACCTAAGGTGATCTATTAAGAAAGGTTTGTAATACTACCCCCGCTCTGCACAATTTAGTTACGACTCCTGTTTCCCATTTCCATAATTTTATTTTGTCTTCACCAGGAAGATATTCTTGTCACCCTTACTGTCTCTTCGATAGGTACTTAAAACCTCCGAATTCGGCAAAAGCCATCTGTAAAGCAAATAAAGCTGGAAGTTTGCGGTGCTCATGATGATTCCTCAGCGCCTTATGAAAATACGAACAAATTGCAACGTTCCATCCGGAAAAATAAACAGTTCTATTCTTCCGTCCGATCTCCTAATGTTAAGAAAACATCACTTCACTGCCAACTTGCAGATTATTCATTGTACGGGTGAACTATTATTCCTGCCTTGTCTGCAAACTACCTGCTCTCCCCTAGTTCAAGTACATGTGCGCCCTTTAAGAGAAATAGTAGGGTTAACGGTGAAGCCACCACCCAACTACCGCAATGAATCTCAATCGATTTTAGGTGCCGGATACAGTAAAATAAGAATTGACCAAGGTGTTGAAGCAGAATATCAAGAACCCGGTAACATTTTTAATAATAGTTATCAAATTATTGCATTGTCATCGGTCCTTGATTCGTGTGCAAAGTTTCAAATTAATCAAACTTCTGGACATTGGTGAGAATTATGCTCAAATATTCCATTACATACATACAGGCAGGCCAAGCTAATAAAAGCGTGTTAAAAAACTGATGAAAGTTGGCGCTCAAACGGCATCATGAAATTTTTCAATCACTACTTTTAGACTAAATTATAGTATTTCTTCATCAATTTCATCACTCCGAATTTTAGCTTGCTAACTTGACTTGTTCAAAAAATGAATGGGGTGGGTATTTTTCAAGAGTACTGTATACTAAAGAATCCCCGAATCCAGAAGATTGATATACAATTCTTTAAACAGTAATAATACCATCTCATTTCACAGAAATTGAAGTAGTAATTGCCTTGTCACAAAATCATGTCTGTGGCGCTTGTCTCTTCCTTAAAATCTCGGTTTCGTAGCTTTATAACTTGTATCAAATGGAGTAGTTTTTCCTTGCTACGCCTATGCGATTTGCGCACCTCTGAATCTTGTCTACTTCACATTGCCGCGATCGTTTCCGATCCCACGAGAATTCGCTATTCTTAATTGCACGTTCATTTTTCACGGGTATAATGATATAACCATAAAGCTATACTTGCGATTTCTGCTGGACGTGCCTTGAGTTTAAAGTTCAAACAGTCATTATTTTTTATCAAGCGCTTAACGCTAGAACATTAGAGAATTCGTTGGTTTCCTTGCTTTTCAGATAACTGGAATACCGTCCATGTTTGATGACCCATATTTTCCATCATCAGTACAGCACTGATAACGTGGCCATTTCTTTGCTGAGTAAAAGAGGAACGGCGGAACCTCGTTTTATGTATGCTAATTAGTAGGGTGGTAGGGTCCATCCCCAGGATTCAAAACTGAGGAGTGGTGGGGGGATAGTAGTTTTGCGTCCCCACCTCGGGAGCGGAGCAAATTTACGACCCCAACTTCGGGGAACACCGTGACGGAGAGAGCCCAAAAAAAAACAGACGCTCCCGCTCAAATTGTATGGACATTATAAAAAACAAATATTGCACTTACTTAAGTGCACGTTAGTTGATATTTGACTATCTTTGTTGATATTCCTCGGAGGTATTTTGTACTGATTTTGTAAAAAAGCAAAACATATTTCATTTGAGAAATTTCACGAACACTTCAGCTATTTCCGTAGCTATGTCAAAGTATGAAACAGCACTGACCACAACGAGGGTGAAATTTGAAATACATTATGATATCACTTACAAGTATTAACCTTTCCTGAGAGATAAAATCTTGTTTTGAAAAAAAGAAACGTTCGAAGTATAAAGGTAGGGTAATTTCAAAACTGGACAGTTAATAATGAATAATGCCAAGAAAGCGTTCTTTTGGACAGCAAGCAGATGCAAAAAATGCCTAGAAAGTTTTATAGTGGAGAACTTACTATATCCTCAATTATATTAGGTATCCGTCTTAACTAAGCAAGCTCGTACCATTTTTGCTATCTATCAAGGCAAGATGTTTTTTTAATCTTGAACCACCTCGAAGGCTTAAACACCCTGTGGGTACCGTGGGGCTATAGGGGGATACGAGGGAAGGGGCGATTCTAGCGACGGAATACGTGTGTTTGCAACACGCATACCTTCCGGTCCACCTTAGATATCCGCCGGGTAGTGCTTTCACGTTCGATAGGCAGAGACCGTCAACCACCTACGAAGAAATTTGTACATATTGCCTCAGACATAATTTTATACACCATTCAACTTGTATTTTTTCCAAAATATTGTAGCCAAAAAATATCTGTTGTACCTGTTTTCCCACTTAATAGTGACTCTATTCATTATCGAGACGGCTCAAAGGATATTTGTCTTCGTATCAGGGTACGTAGCAGGGTAAGAAACACAAGTATTAGAAAAAAGCCTAGGCATCGAAACTGCTGGTTTAATTTTGATTTCCGGAAAGGAATTCATGTGGTTCGATTTTGTAGAAACGTTGTTTCAGATTATATTTATTATGCAATTGCGGTACATGTTTTCATAATAACATTAACAGGATTGTTGATAACTAGTAGGATGAAAGCCCCGCCACTGATGCAAATACAAAACAAAGTATAGAATAGTCAGAGTTTTTGACACTATAACACAGTTTACAGAAGATTGTAATGTTTGCTTAAGCTGTTTAACATCGCGTGTTAATAATAAAAAAGGTTCAGTACACAGGAAACTTGCACATAAGCGTCGTAGCTTGTTTAACTTAAGTATCGTGTTCCGCATGCAAGTAAATCCAAAATTATGTCAGCTTGCGCTGGGATGACAATCAATTTATATTATTTATAGTCAATTTTGGCTCTGGATGGTTACCACGAAAATTACTGGTTGCCTATGATTTAGGGCTTTTGTTAGCAATGAAAGGATAGCCAACAACACAGCTTAGCCGGTGGGAACAGCAGGTATAGTCACACATACCTTATAGAAACGTTCACCTTGCGATGTGGGTGTGCAAGTACAATGAAGGTTGCTTTGTTGAATTCCGTGAAATAATGGGTCGTTTTAGCTGATCACTCATTTCAAGCTAGCAATGCTATCAGAATTCATATTTACCTCGGTGTAATATAAGTATGGTTAAAATGGCGTCAAGTATTTATTCTTCCTATTAACATGGTGCCACCATATTGTATGACCTAACCTGACATTTTAAGGCTAATTTGATATTCACTAGTACGAATTCAATAAACCTATAATGAAAAATGAACGACTTGATAACAAAAAGAATTCGAAAAATATACACTAGCAAAACCTTTCAGTCTTTAACTTTATTAATTCATGTAATTCTCACGTCTGCTCACGGAACGGTGCGGCTGTAGCGTTGGAAAACCCAGCATTTTGCTATTTGTCATATTCAATCATTTTTAGGACGTCAGTATTTTTATTTGAGTGGCATAGATAGTGATTTACATTGATGCAAGGGAGTTTGTTTAATAATACAAAGTGTCGGATGGAGATACAATATTAGTTACCACGGCAAATCCAGAATTCAGAAAATAAATACTGTTCAGGTAACAATTGCGTAACGTTTGCAGATATTCAGCAAGATTACGAAGTTTTGTTTAAATTTTCCAGGAATCGAAAAGTCGTAGTGAAAGCATGTAAACGCCACTTTATCCTGATCTTGAATACATTGTATTATAAATGATTATGGCATTTTTCACTTTTTTAATTTTTGCATATCACCAGTCCACGCATAAACCAAATTGTATATCTGCATCACTACACTAAACAAAAACACACTTAACACCACTGATGAACTTATCGAAAATATCTGCATTGTGCGAAAAACTATGGTGCATTTGTCCGTTAATTGTCTAATTACCCAGCGGTCAAAAATTAAACTGAAGCATGTGGGCCGGGTACAAAAGGAAGTGCTTCCTGTTGGCATTCTGGATATAGTGTTGGATCGTGGTGATTTCCATGCTCGTGCCTAATTATTTTGACTAAGGGGGTGAAGTGACCAAAATTTCAATGTCTAACTTTAGAGCTGTGTTTTTTGTACGCCTATTAGATGAATAATTATAATAAAAGGCCTTTATTAACCTGGCGGGTATTTAGCTTAACAGCTGCTTTCCAGTACCAACCAGGGTAGAAAAAATACATGGAATTCAAAAAAAATACAAAAAAGCACAGTTTTCTCAGCAAAGTATTATAACACAAACAAGTCAAGTAGTTAACAGGAGAATAATATAAAAAATTTAAAATATATCACAGAAAGTTGTTATACAAAATCATGCAAAACCATTGAAAATGAACTCCTTAATCTTAACTTTGAAGGATTTTAACGGCACAGTTTTTAGAGTCGCTGGCAGGCTATTATATTGTAAAGGTGGCATATAGGAGAAAGATTTCTTTAAAAAGGTTGTTGTTGAATGATGTCATATTTGCCAAAATAGGATAATTTTCTGGATAAAATGAACCTTGTTCGTATGAGGAACAAATACACAAATTGTTTCCTTCACGTAATAGGCATTGTTTATGGTTAAAAAGTATCAACGGGAGGCATCATAGCGAAATAAAAAAAATATTCTTTTTTGGCATAACATGCTCCAAAATCAACGTAATCCGTAAATCGTTAATTATTCTTGAACAAGACGTGCAATATTCGATTTTATGATATCAACTAACATTGACAAATAACTAACAAAAGATTCAACCCTCCATTTAATTACAATATACTATACTAATATATACTGACAGTTTCGAGGTTCAATATCTGGGAGACCATTTTGATGAGCCTGTAACAGGTGGTTCGCCAGTATATTACATCGCGCAGCATTACTTATTACATACGACAGTCTTTTTCACGGATTTCAACTTTTTTGTTTAAATTCTGTTGTCGTAGGTGGTAGACGGTATCTGACTGTCGTACGCGGAGGTACCACCCGGCGGATCTCTTAGGCGGGGCCAGATGTGTGTATGCTGCATGCACACGTGTTCCCTCGCTAGAGTCCGTGTGGCGTCTCCCCCTTTTCCTCTCTATCTCCCTATAGCCGCACGGTACCCATGGGTGTTTAAGCTTTAGGCCTCCGTGGTAGCTGGAGTATAAATAAATAATGAATTTATGGAACTTAATAAGAAACTTAAAAATTTCCTTTGCTGCTGATAAAAAACCAAGTATATAATTATGTAAACTGCATGACCTGAACTGTAACAAACAACACTTGTATAAATGTTTATACGTACATATACATAAATTTAGTTACGGGTTAATAAGAACGTATCACTACTGACCCCAGGGAAATAAACTACCATTACCTTTTTTGGGAAAAAACTTCGGAGAATTTAGTTTGTGGATGAACTTCAGCACTTCAGAAATAACTTTTAACAGTCATTAGTAGAAATAAATACTGTAAATAAAATATTTTTTCAATAATCACGCAGCATCAATAAATTCAACTATTCATCATTATAGCACAATAACAACGACAAAAAATAATAGTTAATGTAGTAATGTTGTGCGGGGGTCACCTCTAAAGTTTTTACGAGTGAATAGAATGTCATGATCTTTAAACTGTTAGGCATCGGGTTTGTAACATTCCATAAACAGCAATTTGGAGAAACTTTGTTACTAATAACCTACCCCACAACCCTTTCGAGCTCTCATGCTACGAGTTGACCATACCCTGTTTAGATGCTTTCATATACCTAGGAATTCTGTCTGTGCCTTGATTTTTTTAGGAATGTTCGTCTAACGCTTAGATCTACTTGTCACTTTTATATGAATGCTCAAAATTGTATGTGCTGCCTACCAAGATTTTGTTCATCTTATTTCCGATTCTAATTGAACTACCGAACCTTATCTATAAACTCATCAATACTCATAAAGTATAGACCAAATAAAGTCCCACGATTATATCATCGTTGGCATACCGTCACGTAAGAATCTCGTCAAGGAAGCATTCACACTGTTCTAATAACTGAATACAAAAATATCGCACCTCTACCTTTTGTGATACCTCAAGCATAAAATAAACAAGCGCCTCAAAAATTACGATAACCACTGCCATTATCGTTATCAAGTCAATTGGAAAGAATAATAAAATCAAGGATATTGCAACGAGTTATGATGCTAATAATGTTCGATCAGCGATTCTCATCGCTATAACGATAATAACGTTACGCCAGATATTACAGTCCCAAGGAACCCTGAATTTTATTAGAATATTATGAAGAGTATTATGAAGTTTTTAGAATGTACAAGAAAAATAAAAAAATGAGTAATTTAAAAAAATTTAATGTTCAACTGCTCAAGACGACTAGAATGCGGCATTGCATCCAATATTCAGCCAAACTGCTTCAAAAGCACTGGGGTTGTTTCATATTGAGTATATAGAATAACAACTTTGAATGGGAATAATCTAGGGGGTCTGAATCTGGAGTTCGAGCAGGGTGTAAATTAGATCCTTCTCTATCCATCCAACGATTTCCCCCTGTGTATGATAAAGACTCGGGAGTATCCATCTAAAGTTGCTGAACACAATGACGAATGCGTCTGGTGTACTCATATAGAATTATAATAACAAAGTTATTCGTTCTTTGAATTTTTACCAGATGTCCAGCAAAAACCCCTGTACAACTGCTGGGGATGATTTTAAGAAATAAGGAGGCAATATTTTTCTTGTTTAGCCATACTTCAAACTTGATTCAAATACTGAGGCTACTTTTGGTTCTTGGAGTATCTATAAAATTCTTGGATTGTATCTCAATTCATTAATGATTATTTTCAAAATATAAATGATAGGCTGTTTCAACCATCGCGTCGCGTCGTTAAGCATAGGCATTTTAGAACACATTCAATTTTTCAAAAAGCCGAAAGGGCGGACATGAAATCAAAATTATAGTTTTTTTAAGTTACCGATGATTTTTAACTGGGGCAAAAAGAAAGGGTGTTAGAAGTTTAATAAGTGTATGCATGTCTGTGACATAGTAGCTCCCCAACGAGTCATCCGATTTGAGTGATTTTTAATCGAAAGTCTGTCGATATGGTTCTTAGCATGACCGATGAAAATTGAACGTGGGAGTGAATAGCCCAATGTGAACGAATATGAAAGGGTTTAATTTGTAGATTATTAAATCTCCCTTTCAATGGAAATCGGTCAAGTTTGTTTAAAAGTTAGACCCATTTCTCTGTATGGTTTTGAACACCCAAAACAAAAATTTTTAAATGGATGAATCGATTGAGTGCTCTTTTTTCAATTGAAAGTAGTCTCTTTAATAGATATGGGGGAGGGGGTGAATGCGGTGGTGAACAATCCGAAGTAAGTGAGTATGCCTCAATGGAGTATCAGATTAAAGGGTTTAATATGTAATAGTCGGTCTTTTAATGAAAATTATTCAAGTCATTAAAAAGTTAGATCCATTTTTATGTAAGATTTTTAACCCCCTGGAGCAAGAACTCCCAAAGCGATGGATCAATTTGAGTGCGTTTGTTTTAATCAAAACTCTTGTCCATCGAGGGTAGGTATTTAGTGTTGCTTTGCTCTTAAAAAACTAACACGAGATTAATTTGAAGGCCCAGGTTTTTCAAATTGCTAGCAAATAATTGTTCGAAGTGTTGCATGCATTGCATAGAGGGGGCTGCTTTTTACGTCACGAAACCTACTTATATCCAACCGTTTCTTCAAACCGATGTTTCATTCAATGTAATAATTACTGATTTTCTAAAAAATCAAAGTGATTTTTGGATAATTAGGAGAGGTGAAAAAAGATATCTACGCATGTATACAAAGTAATGGTTTTAAATGTGTTAGGAACATTTCTAAAACCAAATACATTCTGGAAACAAAATCCACCCATTTGACTGATTTCATTCAGCGTCGTCAGCATCGTCAATATTTAGATTGGCAAGTCTGTTATCAGATATTCGTAAGGGGGAATACGCATACCTTCTTACTTCTTTTTCTTGCTGAACCTTCTGATTTGATATGTGCTTCTAATAAGCATATTCAGGGAGCAGCGGTGGCGTAACGGTATATGTTATGGGTCTACTAATCAGTCGCCGTGGGCTGCGCAGGTTCGAATCTCGTCCCAAGATAATGACTTTTCTCTTGACTATGGATGTTGTGATGGTCCGTAGGTGGTCTATGACTGCCGAACGTGGAGATCCCATACGTCTTATCCCGCTACAGTCCTTATGACGTCCTCCCATTTCCCCTGTAGTTCCCTATAGCCCCACGGTACCCATGGGTGTGTAGGCCTTCGTAGTGGTTCAAGTATATAAAAAAACACCCGAATATTACGAGTACTATACTACAAAAGTTAACTTATCTGTGCGATTTCAAGCGATAATTTCTTTCATTTTTGAACAAGATTAAACCTAGTTCATCGATTTTTTCATTTTTTAGAGCGATCAACCTATGGATTTAGTTGTCAGATCACTAAAATTTTGAAGTTTGCGAGTAAACCTAATCTCACTTATGCTATACTATACATTGTAAACGTATTGTTTACACTGTATACGCATTGTCTACATCGAAGCGTAAACGTCCATCACTGCTTTGTTGTATCAATATAATCAGTGGTTCATGACCTAGAAATATCGACTTATATGATATATGATGCTTCCTTAAACATTTTCCTTTTGACTTAATCAATGTTACGCCAATGACGTATCGAAGCCATGCACGTCACATGCTCGATAAGCCTCCTACAATACGACCATGATGCGCGTCCGTAGCACCGCACAGATGCCTCTCGGAACATTAAAAATAGGCTAGGCATCCCATACGGTGCAAGAGATCATCAGCATCCCGGCGGAAGGCAACAGATGCACATGCCCACAAAGCCCTCTATTCAGCCACATGTAGCTACTTTTTCCATGT